TTTTTTTAAGTTTTTTATAACAATAACTATCAAGAATTTAGCCAAAACCGTTATTAAAATAATTCCGCTTTTCTTTTTTAAATAATCTTGAGTAGATTACGATGACGCAAAAAGTTCCTGCAATATAATTGAAATTCACGTTCTCATCGAGTATAGACTACTAAACATAGTAATATACACTATACATTAATAGAAATATAACCACGTAATGTCTATAACATAGTACATGTAATCTGTGTTATAACTGTAGAGATATTGCCCCAGAAATAAAAATGAAAATTACCTACATATTCTTTTGACTTGAACCTGGTTGTTATTTCCTCTCTTAACGAGTCAACATTCGATCAAAGAAAACAAGTTTTTACATGTCTTCTATGCTTTCTGTTAGAGTGTAATATACAACTATAATATTTACTTACAGTGCAAATCGTACGAAATCTGGACTGAAACAAAGTATAAACAAAATCAATATTTAACATTTTCATTATTTTAGATAATTATTATTGTATTAATTTAAAAAAAACTCTTTTTTTATATTATTACGAGAAAAAAGTTGTGTTTCTAACACAAGTTTTTTCTAACATTTTTAATTTTAATTTTTAGTTTTTTACTAATGAGTTTTTAGTCAGATTACAATCTTATTGTTAATTTTTTTCTAGTAATTAATAAATCAGCCCCTTAATGAAGTAAAAAAATCAGCGATATTTATAATAATATTTATATCTAATATGCAGTGTTTACAGTATAAAATTTGATTGCGATTTCATCGTAATTTGTAGCGATCATGTTACGGTAACTACTCAGGGTTACTACACTTTTAAAATTATAAGAGTACAAAATTTTTCAAAGATTATATTACAAAAATATTATAAAATAATATAAATAAATGCAAAGTAAGTACTTATTGGATAGAGTAACAAAAACGTACCTATAAGAATTAAAAATGTAGGAACCCAAATACATACAATCACATATTATCCTATTTGAAACAAATTAGTTTACAAATTACTTGTTAATGAGAAATCTTTTGTTCCCGTAGGTACCTCCTATTGAATACTTATATAAATTGAAATTGCTAGAAAACCTTTATTTGAATAGCTTTTATTGGGGTTATTGCAGATAACAATGAAAAGCTCTTTTTAAACCAGGTAAGTCAATCGGCAGTCTTACAACTGTTCATGGTTTCTTAGAATAATTTGTTATTATACTATTTATAATACAATAACAAAAGAATATCCATAAAAGTCAAAATTATTAATATGTAACAAGAAAACAGTTTCGATATTATTAAAAGTAGAACAGATCAAATCACAGAATAGATCAAAAAGTAGAAAATATTATATTTAGTACCTTATTAGAATATTCCTATAATTTCGATTATGAAAAGAATTAAGAATTTTCAAATAAAAAAATTAAGAAAATTTGAAACTTTGAGTTACAGTTATATTTCTGTTTTGTGCTTTGTCTGTAATCATACAAGAAGACCAGGAGGCCCCATTCTTCACGTGCCTTATGCTTTACAAATAATTAGACTGGGGAACTTTTTTACGTATTATATTATTACGTAGTATATTTGTACCTACTATTGGAGTCATATGTGTGTTTTTAAAATTGTTTGTAGAATATATAATTTACGAACTGATAAACATCACTATCACGATAAAGATTTTCTGTTGGGTAGCTCTGTTTTTTAAAGTATATCAATTTAATATAAGCTTTTTAAACGCATTCCAAGAATTAGGTCTTAAAAGCACCTCCCCATATGTGAGTACCATAGAATACAGATTATTATGGATTATACTAGCGAAACTTATGTGTGCAGCATTTGGTGTGTGCATCAATATAAGAATTTTGAAAGTTCCTTTTATTTTTGAAGTTTGACCGACTAAACCGACCAACTATTCTAATAAGATAAGATCAAGTTTTTTTTTATTTGTATGTCACGTTATATTTAAAACAACGCACTCGATTGAGGAACCGAGTGAAGCTGATTCAAATTCCGGGCCTCGCATCTCTGATATTCTCATATGCGAATGTTTTTCAACATGATTACCGCTAATCGCGTTTCGGTGAAGAAATCATCGTGAGGAAACCTCCATGTCTGATAGAACCTACCAAGTTGGCACTTGGCAACGAGGTGGACTATGGACTGATCACCCTTGCAGTAAAGGAAAACCCGTGATCAGCATTGGGACGTTAAAAAAGAACTGAATACAAATACAATAATTACTTTTTAAAGTATTTTTAATGTTGGTGGTAAGTATATCAAAGTAATTATTAATAATGTTGTCGATGATAAAATATATTACCATACATTAAATCACTACCACTTACTAAAATATCTTGAACGTATCTTATCTTTTTAGCCTAGCTTTGTATAACAACAAGGAATATAGCTGGATAACAATATATTATAATAATCCATACTAATATAATAAATGTGAAAATGTGTTTGTTTGTTTGTCCATCATTCACGTCGAAACAGAGTGACGGGTCAGCGTGATTTTTAGTGTGGAGATAGTTGGAGGGCTGGAGAGTGACATAGGCTACTTTTTACCGCGGAAGTTTACCTAATTCTCACTTGAAAACACTTTAAAATACAATCCAAAAAAATGTTTTTGACCAGAATTATTTGAAACTTGGTATTCATGCTCTTCAATAAAATTAAATAAATACGTGTTTTAACATTTTTTGAAATTCATCTTATAAGAGGGTAAAATAGAGGTTGAAAGTTTGTATTAAACTACTACCTTTTTAGAGATTTTTTTGTAAAAAAGCCGCGGGTTCTGCTAGTACATTTATAATTTATAAGATACCACATCGAAAAGATTAGTAATACGAGTATATGGATAGTTACAATACTTAGTAATATCTAATTTATTGTCAACAGAACAACGTTCTATTATACTGAAAATAAATAGTTTATGTAATAATTATTATTATTCGTGTTTTATCAATAAATATAAGTAGGGGCTATTATAGCAATAAATGGATCTTAATCAAAATAGAAAAAATTAATTCCTTCATTTTTAGGTGATCAAAGATACAAAACTTCCCTCAACGTTGACGTGAACTTATACAGGCATGGATAACTTTCATAACGTTACTGCGCTTGTAAAATGTGGTAAGTAAACTTCTTTGATTCCATTTAAGCAGCCGCTTCGCTCTACCTGTTACAACCTAATTCTATTGTTTCATGCAAAAAGATTAACTTTATAATAGCAATAAAGTAATAAGAAACCAGGTAAATTCTCTAACCAAGTAGGTTTTTGGGGAAAAAATATCTTTATAAAAGTCATTAATAGCTTAATTGGAAATAGCTTCTTTAATTGTCACAGTAAAATAGTGTCCTACATCAGTTAATCATAAGGAGTCAATTTTTTCTCCATATTTATTAGTTTTTGATCGTCTGTATTCTATTCCGAAGTTGAGATATAACAATATGACTCATGATATCAGCTTTTTTCCTCGCATTATAAAGACATTGTTCGTTGACGTGTTGTTCGAAATGAAACCACATAAACAAGTTGAGTGTTCAGAAAATGCTTTGTTATTGTAAAGAAAAAAAGATTGTTTGTTGACTTTGAAAATCTACTTGGGGTCTATTAATCAGTTTCTAAAAATTATTTTACTGAAAGGAAACCGCATTATTATTTATTACAAATATATTCATTACAAAGAGTTAGAGAAATAACACACTATACTATGTGTATGTGTAGGTACAATATGTAAAGCTTTTTATTTTTATGTAACATGGAAAAATCTAATAAAATAACTTGACCTATTAGAAAAATTGTGAAACAATGAAACACTTTTCCTGATATAATCGTTATATTGACAGTAATTAATAAAATTTATATACACAACAGAAAATCATACGTCCCGCCCAAACGTCAATCACAATCAATATGTCTTCGTCGTCATACTTTTCCTGCCTGCCTGGCACCTGCGTAGACGAACACCACAGAGGTTGTATGAAGGTGTACTTGATGTCTTGAAATAAACCAGCGGCGCGTAACAAAATATTTAGGGCATTTTGTGTTATAAGTGTATGTTTGTCATAATTTGTTATTATCCATATTATATTCATAATATATTCGAAATTCTATTAATATACTTAACTAGCATTTCCCGCGGCACCGCCCGCGTTCAGATGACCAAAAACCAAATTCTTAGGTTTTACATATTAGTATACTCTTACATTGCAGTTTTTGTATTTTTCCTCAGAAATGAAATTTTCCCGCGGTAAAACGTACCCTATATGTTGACACGGATAACCAGCTATCACCATACTAAATTTCATCAAAATCTCTCCAGTGGTTTTTCTGTGATGCGATAACAGACAGACAGACAAAAATCTAAAAACTATAGATTCGGAATCTGTATCGATAATAATGTCTATTTCAATAGGATTTTCCGAAAAATATTTAATGTACAGATTCGGCTTACTTACAATTTTATTATATGTATCTATAGATATGTAGGTAATAATCTTCTTATAGGCAAATATAATAGCTTACTTTGAAGACAAACGTTTTATTTGTATATTTATTTTGGGAATAAATACACAAATATTTTATAGCAGTGTATAAAGCATTTACATTGTGCATACATACGCTATGTAAAAAAAGCCCTCTGAGCAAAGAAAATTCGTTAAGTACAATAGTACACTTATTAACGAGTGTAATTCTACTAATAGATACTAGTAGTACTTAAAAGTAATATCGTTAAACAAAATACTTAAAAATGTAACAAAAAGACAAAAGAACTAACTATTATTAAGTTTTTACAATAACAATGCATCAATGAAACTAATTCATCCTATTAGACAGAGAGGGGGTAAATGTTTGCAGAAATGTGCATATAAAATAAAGGCAATACTTAATTTTGCTCATTTTAGCTCTACTTATCTATTGGTTAAGTTTGAATGAGTTTTAAATACCTTCTGTGGTGCACAGCGTTCTAGTATTTTTATAGTGCGTCTGAAAGTGCTACGACAGATGGTAAGCTTAGTTAGTAAATCAAATAGTGGAAAAATATTATTTAAAAATAATACATAATAATACTAATTATTTATAAACTTTACTTTCAAATAAACCAAAAATCAAAATAAATCTGCGAAATAATCCGAAAAGATAGTTTTATTTAAAATGTCAAATATTCGCGTACATCTAAGAAAGTGTTATATCTTCAAGTTATTTGCAGTTACTTTACAGTGCACTGTGTAGTAACTATAATCTCACTTTGTTAAAGTCAAAAGTGTATAAAACCTATTATTAAACCAGCAATTGGTCGTCAAATAGATATTTTTAAAGCTCTACGATTGAATAAACTATACAGAGTATATACTGTTCCATAACTATGTTTTTATCCTTTCTTCAACAGGCAGGTACAACCCAAGATGCCTCATCACGTCGCCGGGGAAGACCTTCTGGCAAAAACCGATTGCCTCTATCCCTGGTGCGTATATCTGACTCTTATACTCTTTTACTTTGTTTTATTGCACATTAGGTCAAGTTAGACTTTGTCTATGCAAGCAATGTTATTTATTAATTTGTAACAAAAGATTAAAAAGGAAGAGTTACGATCATTTCTAGTGCATTTTTTGTGCATCTATTGTTATGATACTACATATATGTACTACACATGTAGTGTAGAAGAATATATGTATTTTCACCTATTAACTGATTTAAATAAAAAGGTTATTTTATATATATGTTGTATTTTTTTTTATAAAACTTACTGAAGTTTAATATATAATCACATAACATTATAAAAAAATAAAGTTTAAAAATTTCTTTCACTATTCAGGCGGAACGGCGCTCTCGTAATGCCCTCTACGAGAGGCAAAGACGTCAAGAAACCTCTGAAGCAATGGCTAATTTAGCCGAAGCCGCTGGCTGCGATCCTTCAGTAAGTTTTAAGTATATATATAATAATAAATATATCATATTTGTATAATCTTTGTACGTGTAACATCTGATCGCGATCCAAAATTTAGAGTTAAAAGTACCTATTGTAAACCTGATAGGAAAGATAATTGAAATTTGAGCTCTACAGTTCATAGCTCTACGACTCAATAATAATATGTATCTTAAACCATTTTATGGGTTCTCTGTTCTATATTAATACCTGGGTAGTGTAAAGTAACAAAATTGCTGTTTTATATAACCTTATTTTATTCAGTTTTTTTTTATTTCTAGCTCAGCAGTGCGGATATTTTGGCCACCGTCATAAATCAACTGCAAGCGGCTGAGCATACTACTAACGAGATCGAAGACATGAAATATATTAATGCGAAATTAATGGAACAAAGTCAGTCTAATATTTTGTTGAAATTAAATTACCTTAACTTAACCTATATATAATTTCAATATTAACAAAACAAACTAGTGTAATGTTTTAGCATCTGGAGTTTTAAAATAATGTTGCCAATGTCTCACATTCGTCAATTTATATAACACTACCAGAACCCGCAGTATTGCTCGCGTAGAAACTACAAGAACCTCTAAAAAGGTAGTCTCATACAAACTTTCATCCCCTAATTTACCCCCCTTATAGGATGAATATCGAAAAATGCTTAAACACGTATTTATTTAATTTTATTGAAGAGCATTAATATCACGTTTCAAGAAATTCTGATTATAAATATTTTTTGGATTGTATAATAACGTGTTTTCCCATGGAAATTAGATAATCTCTCGCGGTAAAAAGTAGCCTATGTCACTCTCTAGCTCTCCAACTATCTCCACACAAAAAATCACAACAATCGGTCTCTCCGTTTTGATGTGAAAGAAGGACAAACAAACAAAGAAACACCACTTTCCTATTTATAATATTAGTATGGATTTGTAAAAACAAAATACAAAATTTATTTTTTACGTATACAAAATTTATTGTGTAATCGAAATTTATTTTATAATATATCCAAAAATAACATTAATAATTTAATTAATAGTATAAAAAATGTTTTAAAACACAACAAAATCGAAAGTGCATAATATTTAACACCATTCAGACAAAGAAAGACAATAGCATTCCCAAGGAGGGTTGACGTCAGGCAGGCGGCCGGTCGTAAAACTTTTGCCAAATCCTATCAGCAGTACACTGAAGATGTACTGCGCCGACCCCAAGTGATTTGGGAAATGGGCAGGGAGAAGAGAAGAAGTATGGATTTGTAAGACTATAAAGATTGACCTAAAATTAAAAAGTAAATATATTTAGCTATCACTTTAATAGCCTAACTTATGTTATGTATTTTTTCAGTCGAGACTTTAGAACAACGTGTTAATGATGAAGAAGAAGAGATCACTGAAATTAGCAAAAATAAGAAGCGCAAGATACAAAGTGAACCCAAAGAGAATTCTTTAGAAAATCTCATGACCGAGGCTTGTATCAGTAAGTCATTAACTAAACTAAGTTTTTTTTAGTAAAATCCATAACTATCATCCATAACTAATTACTATAGCATTTTAAGTACCTATTAATTAATATAAAATTATAACACCATGTGTCTAACATAAAGATTCAAATCGTAAGCTTATATTTTATATTCTTATTTGTTTCAGACGGAATCAAGATAGTAAAAGATCTGGAAGAGCACCAAGTTTGCTAATTACAGCTATATTGGATATTGTACATATACTCATTCCTCATACACATTCAATGTAGTACATGTTACTGGTTGTGATGAGATTTTCTTAGTGCCTGTTTTTGAACTAACGACAAGTTTACATTACTGTTCACTAAAGTCACAATACCTATTAACAATATTATCGTCTATGGATACTTGTAACTTTATCCGACTAGTGCTGCGATTTATGTACCATTATGGTCTATGGAATCTATGAAATACATACACCACCAACCAGACGTATCTTGGGCGCTCAAAATAAAAATGGGGATTGACCTGCTTAATTCAAGGTGTAAGAACTAAATACTTCTAAAATTATTATAACGCATAGGTACTTAATTCTGAACACCATTAATAAACGAAGAACCCTCATAGCGATACGTAATTCTAAGCCTTAACTGTCCTGTAGTTTGTATAGAGAAATTCTGAAAAGCCATGCCAGTGACTGTACTTTATTTTTAATAATTGATGATATAAGATGTATTTTAATTATTAACATCAGTGCAATGAATTTTTAAAACCATTTTCAATTTTTCTTATTTATGTCCTGATTGTGTGCGAAAATATTCGTATTCATCTATTATGAAAAATCTTCTTCGTCAATAAAAATATTATAAATGTTATAATAAATCTTTATTAATTTATAATAAAGCAAATTAAACAAAAAATATATATTTTTTTAACTATTGAAAATCTCATTGCTACTTTTCTTTACCACATGTGTGTAGCATCGCTGAAAACAATATCACCTCCAGGTAAATTTCTAAGAAATTAATTAAAATTCTAAGAAATCTATTGTTAACTGACACGCCGGCGTGTCCGCGGTCGTGGAGGGAATATAGGTATACATGAAATCTCGTATTACAATCGTACTAATTATACGTATTCATTTAATAATCTCACTACTTCATTCATTGATAATTTTAAGTCTAAAACAGAGTACCTACACACCATGGACCTTTATGTGAAATCTATCAATGCATAATGAAATAATCAATTTTCATAAAAACATTACAAGTATAAATACTTTGTGAATTACATAATTAGTCAGTGTTACTGTTAAATAAGTAATTAATAATTTATGCATACGTAAGTACCTTAATAATTTATACACATTTAAATATAAAAATATTTTATATTATAATATGAAAAAAAAACCAGCAGTAGTACTATATGGTCACAAACTCGCCCTGGGGAGATTCCTAATGTCGTAGCACCAACACACGATAAGTAAGGAAGAAGTTGTATGGGATAGTTTGAGATTTATGTTCCTACTTAGCTTACTTAATAGCGCATATCCTATTGAAGTGCTATAGCTCTTAATAAAAGCTTATTGTTAAAGGATACTTACTATCTTTGGGATCCGTAGCAAGGGTGTAGTCATTCTGCCAGCTCCTGACCGTCCCCATATGAGGTGTGATTGGAGGGATCAAATAATAATTGTTGTCTATCGCGTTTTTCTTGATCATGCCTATTATTCCTAGCCCGAGCCCGCCCAGGAACATAGCGTGGTAAGAACCCATGTAGTATGCCAGAATGGGTCCGCATGCTAAACCACCTAAAAAAATAGTTTTGTCAATTACATTTTTAGGCTTCGAGCGTCAAGATATTTCTAAAAGAGAGTTTAAATGATTTTTTTTAATTTAATGAAACTTATCCGTTATACTTTTATAAACATACCCAATCATTCTCAGTTTAATTTTAAAACAAAACAAAAGTAATATCTAACAAACTAAAATTCTGTGCTTATTTTCATTATTTACTTGTCGGTTAATATAAAGCTACCTATAAAGTAGTTGAAGACATCATCTTCTTGTCTCAAGTGTTGAACTCCATTAGCGACTCCCGCGAACGTTGCCCCAATTAACGTGAGTGGCACCGTGTGGAATGCATACCTTAATGAAATCAGAGTTTAACAGCTATTCGATGGACCTACGTCTGTCATGTTTTGATGACAATCATTTTATTGAAAGAAATTATAATTTTATCAGTTTTTTTTTTCAATAATTGTTTTTAATTTATCTCTCAACGTTATATAATAATACCTAAAATTTATAACAAGCTTCACATCTGTCCATCTTTTTTTTTCCAAATTTACACTGTTCTATTACAATTAAAATGTATATTACTCAGACCAATAAAAAAGTATCTGATATATTATATATTCGAAAGATTATAATTGTTGTGCATTTTACTTACTTCAACGTAACGGTTTTGAATGAAAATCAGTATGGATGTAGGTAGGTACCTCATTTATTATTACTAGCGGCTCACCCTCGCTTCGCTCGGGTTCGTCGCTAGGTACCTACGTTTTAAATAGATATAAACATGAATCAGTATTCACGCGCGATGGCTTATTATTAGCGTATTTCATGTATAACTTTGGTGTTTCTATACCGATTTCTATGATTCTTTTTTATGGAATAGTTAATAATGTTAACTTTTTTAATTAGGGATGACTGAGAGTGTTATAAACGTAAGAGTAGACAAATATAAATCAGAAAGCTTCGAACTGCTAATCTATCGGGAGTTACGTGTTATTGTGAGTCAACCATAAAAGATAGACATATGCTGTCGTGGGATATTTTTTATATAATTTTAAGGAGAATATTTTCGTCATACATGATTTCTGTGTAGCTTTAACCATTAACCATTTGAAGCATTTACCATTTGAAGCTTAAAAAATGGAGTAACTTCTCCCGTTTTCCCAACATTTCCCTTCACTGCTCTGCTCCTATTGATTGTAGCGTGATGAAAAGTATACTATAACCAGCTCAGGAGTATGAAAAATAATTATACCAAGTTTCGTTAAAATCAGTTGAGTAGTTTTTGTTTCTATAACGGTTATACAGACAGACAGACAGACAGACAGACAGACAAAAATTTTACTGATTGCATTTTTGGCATCAGTATCGATCCCTAATCACCCCCTGATAGTTATTTTGGAAATATATTTCATGTACAGAATTCACCTCTCTACAGATTTATTATAAGTATAGATTATTGTAGAAAAACGTAGACTAAGGGTAATTTTTATCAATATCAACCACGCAAGCATAAAAAAGGCATAAAAAAAGTATCTTAATGAAACTCGGGTAAGATGACCATTAACCATAATAAAAAAATACTTGAGCGAAAATCTAATATTTTAAAATATACATAATTTTAACACTTCCAAAATATTTAAAATGTTAATAAGTATTTCTATGTAATTTAAAAACCTTTTCACGGCAATTGATTATACTATACTACTATTTACCCGACTGCGGCGAAGCCCACAGGAGGGTTGTTTGATTATTAATGAATAATTGGCTTATAACTAACCGTCTCATTATATGCCCCAGCCTTATTGCATGGGAGTACATCAACACGTCATAAGTGGATAAAATCAAGCCCGTTATAGCTCCATAACGGCTTGTTACTAAGATCTATAAAAGAAAATTAAATGTATTGAAGACGGACATGCACACAGACCGCAATATATATTTTATGGCAATGCAGGTAAATATTTGTCGCAACAGGACTCTAACCCGTGATACTGAATGTACAGAAGCATATTCTAACTATTCTGACCAATACGCCTGGTGACCATATATAAAAGTATGTACCTAACTAATTCCATATTACATACATTTAAACGCGTTGACTTTTTTTTATTTTGTAGATAAAGACAGTTCATTATTGAATAGAATAATAGAACATAATAATAAATATAAATTTAAATATAAACAGCAAATTTTAGTTAAATGAAAATAGGCGTTTAATTAGTGAAAAAATGTATTAATGGTAGTTTAAGTACAAACTTTTTTATGAACATCACATCCATCGGGTGTATCATAATATCTGTAATAATTACGATATCCTCTGTCGGGACACTCACAGGCCATGTTAGAGGAAGTATATTATTTAAAATAACTTACGGTTTTTTCACTGAATATATCAATGTCAAATTTTATTTCTGAAAATTTTAAGATACTGATAGCTCGTTCATATTGTAATGCAGACTCCTTGATAAAAATAATAAATCTGCAAGCCCCAACTGGGTGATGGTGCAAATCTATACATATAATAAAATTGTAACTAAGCCGAATCTGTACAATAAATATTTTTTGGAAAATCTTATTGAAATAGACTTTATTATCGATACAGAGGCCGAATCTATAGTTTTTAGAATTTTTGTCTGTCTGTCTGTCTGTTACCGCATCACAGGAAAACCACTGGATAGATTTTGATGAAATTTTGTATGGTGATAGCTGGTTATCCGGGTCAACATATAGGATACTTTTTACCGCGGTAAAATGTCTCCTTTCTGAGAAAAAATACAAAAACTGTAATGTGAGAGTGTAGTCGTACTAAATTATGTAAAACCTAAGAATTTGGTTTTTGGTCATCGGAACGCGGGCGGAGCCGCGGGCGATGCTAGTTAATAATAATTTCTCAAATTATACCCAATACTTTCTCAGAATTGCGTATATTTGAAACTTTAAATGAAACTATCTTTTCTATTTTGTCGCTTGTATTTTCTATTTTGTAAAAAGCCGCGAATCGGAAAACGTGAAAAAGTGATAATGAAAAAGTTTCATTTACAATAATTATTATCTGTTTAAAATATTATCCGTTTTTGATAATTCCTTTAAGAATTAAATTTCAAAACGAATTTCGGAGGTTTATAGTTTAGTCTAAAATTATATTATTATATAATGTGTTTTTTTTTATATTTTCAATTTTAAATATTAATAAATTATCAATTGATTTTTTAAAATGCATAAAAAGAAAGACGGAGCTCCAACCTTTAATCAACAAAGTATTTAGGGTATTAAATTAAAAATGAGCCAACAACTTAAAACATACCTATTATATAGTGATAAATAAAACATAAACCTAAACAAAAAACTAAAACCAAGTAAATTCTCTTGCAAATATGATCAGAAACTTACTGTGATAGTAACGACATCTATTACCAACACGAACAACTACATTCTACTCATCGTAATATGTACTTATCATCCGCCCTCGGTTTCCTCAACCGACGAAAACTAAACACATTTACTAACATAGAAATATTCCAATGTCGCAAGAGATCATTTCATTTTAATAATAAGCAGTAGTCATGTCACTCCGGCTTATAAATCTATACATATAATAAAATTGTAACTAATTCGAATTTGTACATTAAATATTTTTTGGAAAATCTTATTCAAATAGACATTATTATTGATGCAGAGGCCGAATCTATAGTTTTTAGAATTTTTGTGTCTGTCTGTCTGTTACCGCATTACGGAAAAACCACTACAGGGATTTTCATGAAAATTGGTATGATGATAGCTGGTTATCCGGGTCAACATATAGGATACTTTTTACCGCGGGAAAATGTCTCATTTCTGAGGAAAAATACAAAACTGCAATGTAGAGTATACTAATATGTAAAACCTAAAAATTAGGTTTTTGGTCATCTGAACGCGGGCGGAGCCGCGGGCAATGCTAGTTATGAAATAAACATATATCATACATATATCATATAAAAAACCAATTAATAACAAAAACAAATATCAATATCATAGATGGCAGTGAATAATTCATGATTTTCATCAACTCAATACATCAAAGAGGTTAGCTCGCCTGCCTTAAATACTTAGAATGAAAGATATTCATATATTAGTAAGTAAAGCGACATAGAGGTATTCGATGTAAATTTTTTTTTAAATATTTAACATACAATCTCAAAAGCAACTAGAAAAATGGAATTTCTAGGAGAAAGAGAAACTGAAAGTAACTATATGGTCATTCATAAAATACCTCATGCAAAATTATAAATTTTTAGCCCAATTTTTAGTCAAAGGCAAAGATATGATCGGCTTGATGCTATGAGCTTTAAATGCTGGTACTAAGATGTAGTAGTACTAGAACTAGAACATATTTATATTAATTTATATTATGTTTGAGAGCGGAGAGTAAATAAAATATAGTGTATAACAAGAGTATTTATATTACAACTTAATCTATGTCTCCCAAGAAATAATTTTAAAAAACAACCATCCATTTAATATTAAATAGACTTGATAAAATTATTTACATTCTGAATAATGATGAAAAAATTATACATTATTTTACACAGCGGGAATGTAAAACTAAAGTGGATAATTCCAAGAAGACTTCACTTATTTATAATGAATATTCTTATTGCTAACCTAAATTAGTTTGTACTGAAAATAGTACACACCATTTTCTTAGATAATTGTTTCATACATAAGAATAAAAGTTACTGGCATTGTCATCAGATTTATTAATACATTACTGACATCATCTGAGCTAAAGAAACTGGCAGCATTTTTTGCAAAATATGTAACATATTTTACTAATGTTCAAAAAAATATGTAAAAAAATATATTTAGAACCACTATATTTGCTTGGATTTCAACTTACTTAAATGAGAAAACAATTTACCCATCATATATTTAAAAATTCATTAAATACTTACATCATACTTTTAATTATAAACACAAATCTCTTGAACATTAAGACAGATCACTAAAATTAGGTTATTCTATAAGAATATTCAACTTATAGTTAATCTTAGAATATATTATTGCAAGCCCAAACTGTCATCATTGAAAGGCAATTTTCACTTTCCTGTAAAAAATACTTATTATTAATAAATTCAAAGTATATTGTTATGAAAATAAACATATTTGTCAAATTGCCTCACAATCCAAAGTTCTGGCTGTTATTTATACATTTAAACTATTTATTTTTAGTTTCTTAACTCGACGAGTGGTTCCTTCTCCATCAGAGCTGTCAGTGTCATGAGAACTGCCTTCTGATTTAATTCCTAGACCTAGTTCAGGAGCATCCATATAATTTCCTGTTGCTCGTGCCTTTTCTAGTGCTTTTACTAAAACACATAAACCTTTCTTATAAATATTAAAATCAAACTAGATTAATATAAATAAACATACATCGTACTTTTAGTACAGATATTGTGATAAGTTTATTTAAATATTAAAATGTTTTTATTGGTTCTTACTTTGAGTTTCAAGCAAACTATTTTGCTTTTTTAAGTCATCTATATCTTGTTGGTGTACATTGTTTTTTCGTCTCATAAATTGTATGTACTCAGCAGCTTTTTTTAAAATTTGTGCTCGACTGGCCTAAATGAAACATAACAAGTTTAAATATTGTTAAAACAACTGTACAATATAAAATATTTTTGTTAATCTACCTACCACTTTTTCTCCTTGTAAAGCTGGTACTGATTCTCGCAATGAAGTAAAACTGTCCTTTATATGATCTCTTCTTTTTCTTTCCAATGCATTGTGGTGTGCCCTTTTCTCAGCCTTAAATTTCATGAATATTTGCTTATTAGAAAGAAATTAGTATAACGTTGATAATTCAAGAGCGTATACTTTTTAATGTAAGGTGGAATACAAAAAACTATGATATAGGAAATATTTTGCTACATTGTCAGTATTCCTTGTATAGAAAGTATTTTACCATGATATGTTTTTCACAAAATAGCAAACCATTTGCAATAACATTATGTTCACCTTGAATTTGTAAAAACTCTAAATGCGAAAAGCTGATCATAAATCGTTAGTTTTTGTACCTGAGAGTAATATCCACTGCCACCCATGCTGCTTCTAGCATGAGGTCTAGAGTCGGAGTCATTTTCAGCCTGTAAACAATGTCCAGATATTAGACGATAAAATAAACATTGAGAAGTCACAAACTGGAGCGAAACGAGAAAACACTTACATCGCTTTCAATATCAATGTCGCGATCGTCGTCGCTCATCATCTTATATGGATTTTATAGCACAGAGCAAAAATTAAAAAAGTGATACATTAATGTAACAGTATTAGGTATACCCTAAAACTATTTATTTTTATTATCGTTTTGTCTCCAAAATTCGCACAATAGAACGCGTGACAGAAAATGACAACTGACAATCCCACTTAGCGATGCGATTGCGCGACTATGAAATATGAATGATTCCATTCGAATTGTTCGATTATATAAATCATTTGATTCATTCGATTGAATTACAAAGTTTAATAACTAACTTGATACCTGCTAGTTGCTACACTAAACACTTGGTCGCTAAGTATTAGTTGTAGTGGTGTGACTGATATATTAGTATACGCTAAGAGATAAATAATATTGAAGGATCTGTGAAATATGAATTAAGTAGTAATCTGACAAACTCTGATAAGCAATTCGACTGAGACACTGATAGAACGGCGACCGCTCTAACTGATTATTCGACGTTAGAGTGGTGCAAAGCAAATTATTCATTCATTCGTAAATCGTTATTCATAATTCATATTTTATTTCAAAGTCAAACTGACGACTGAGTCACAGTCGTGACCAATTTAGTTCAAAAGCGATTAGTAATTAATTGTTAGTAATATTATTCGATTATTAACATTAGTGTATTACTATTATTCAAGTCAAATGTGTAAATTAGTAGATTATTCGAGTCGTCGGATCGTTCGAAGTCGCGCATCTCTAATCCCAATGTGGGATTCCCACAATACTTGATTGACAAAACTCATTAATTCAACCTCAATGACAATTGACATTTTCTAGAAGAGAGAAACTTATCATCAAAATCTTTACAGATAAATAAAATTGAAGTGTCTGGTTGTAATGTCAAAATAACAGCTTTTTACTAAATGCGTATGGAATTTTATACGGTATTTAAAATAAAAACACAATTTATAAAATTTTAGTCTGTCTGTCTGTCTGTTTGTTCTGGCTAACTACGAAACGGCTGAGCCGATTTTGATGCAACTTTCACTGGCAGGTAGTTGATGTTATAAAGAGTAATTTAAGCTACTTTCATTTCAGTAAAAGAAAAAAGAATTAGGGTTCCGCTGTACCTAAGGGAAGAACCCGAGCGGAGCGAGGGTGATTCGCGGGTGAAAAATAAATATATAATAATATATAGACTCCGAAAAATATATGAACGTATTAAGTGGGTAAATATTTAATAGTTACATATTTCTAATTTTTAAGTCTTTTTGAAATCTGAATTTTGCATTTTTCTCCCGCCAGATGTCACGATCATTATGGCCATTGTGTGCCATTCTTATTTTGCTGTAGCTTTACGCCCACGGCTACGCTCGCGTGGACTGAAAAATTTGCTCAGTTTTAATTTCCATTGAATTTATATGTTATCATATTGAATTTTTAATATTATGTTTAGAGTAAAACTCTAGATTCACTTAACTTAGTCTACACTAAAAGACCCAACAACAATTTAATACACCAAACTGATGGGTGTTTTGTTTAGTTCTGGGTTCTGGTGAAATGCCCCTGTGAAGACCTATTCTCTCTTAAGTCTGGGCCTGCTTCTTTTAACGACTGGCCCTGAGATATATTAATGGTCATTGCAAAGCAAACTTTAAGAAGGAATTATAATAGATTAAATTCAAAGGCGCAGTCAGAAGTTATCAGTGGTATTCGAGGTATGAATTCTGATTCCCCCCGAGCACATCCAGCAACCACAGCGTCCACTATGATGTTTAATGAATTACTCACAGTCTAATCCCGTTATATAGCTTATGTGACTTTTACATTACATTTGTGCCAACCTTCAGAAGGAGGATATAGATAGCAGGATATTCTCTAGCTAGGTTCTTTCTCCCGCGCTCTAAGTCTGTTATAGTTGTCACTGCTGTGGCCAGCCGAGAAGTTATATATAATTTTCTTTTAGATTCGGAATAATTTCCGTTTCTACTTTATATTTCACACTGTAAGTGTATACTTACGGAGAACTTGAGCCATGTTACTCTGTTTAAATATATTCAAGAACTCCAACTTCACCGCCCAGCTTCACCCACTTAAGGACTAAATTAAAAAAATACTAAAATACATGTTTATTTAATTGTATTCAATAGATTTTTTTAATTTTCAAGTGATTTTGATCATCAAGAATTTTTTCCCCATATAAACAAAACAACCCCATATAAACAAAAAAAATATGTTTGTATTGTTATATTTTTCATTTCAAAGTTAAATACCACTTTCCGTGCATCAGTTACACAATTTTATACGAACTTTCATCAACTTTCATATATTTCATTTTACCCCCATATGGAAAGAATTTTGAAAAATGCTATTTACACGTATTTATTTAATTATTGTATTGAAGAGCATTAATACTAAGTTTCTTCTTTCATATAAACAAAAAAATCTAATAAATATAATTTTTATTTTTTATCTTAAAGCTAAACCCCACTTTCTGTGTATTTCACTTTAAGAATGACAGAGTTTCATAGAATCTTTAATCCACTATCTTACCCACTTAGGAGATGAATTTCAAAAAATCCTTTTTTTATCGGATTCCTACATCTTAAAAGGAATACGTTATCCAAATTTCACGTTTCTACAACTAGTGGTTTAGGCTGTGTGTTGAACAATCAGTAAGTCAGGACCACCGCAAGATGCACCTCTCCTTCTCAATTCTTCCTTCAGCTGGTCTAACTTCCAGGTACAATATATTGCACAGGTAAGATGCGAACACAATAAAATCAAAAGAGCAGGTATATAGAGATATCACATTAAATTACTTAACCTTAGATAAAATGTAAATAGGCCATACGTGTGGCGCCGTCCTTTAGGCCTCAGGGATTCCTCAAAATAATTGAGACAGTAAGCACAAGAGGAGAAACTAAGAACTTTGCTTACTTTTGTTGACAAGGAGGAGGGAGGGGTTAATAATTACTAAAATTCTACTTACGTAAAACTTGAATGACCCCTATTTACCATCAAACGTTTTAAACAGAGCCAAGAATGTTCAGGAAACTAAGAACCAATTGTAACTTGTAATAAAAAAATCGTTATGCCAATCCTTTTTTTCCATTTCACGCCTAAAAGTCACTTCTAAAATGAAAAAAAATTAAATTAAACAGCCAAGTTAATATGGCGTGAAAATATGGATCAAAATGTAGGTGGTTAAAAACAAAAAATGCAAAAAACTTATAATATCGCTACAGGTACAAAAACTTGTCATTATTGTTATCCAAACTTTAATTAAGATATTGATTTTTCAGATTTTTTACATTTTTATTTTTTCTGTTTAGTACTTAAAAGCGACAGCGATTTATGTTTTAAACATATTTCAATAAATTGGGTCATGTGTATTTGTAATTCGTCAATGATATTAACTATCTATGTAACTCTAAATAAAATGAATATCATGCTGTATAACCAAGTGGTTATGACTGTGAAAAGATAAAAAAAAACAAGGTACAGTAATGTTAATTTAATCGAAAGTGTTAGTGGAAGTTTTTAAGGTTATCTGTGAGTAATCAGGCGCGAATCTTTAAAATTTCAAAATTTCATAGTTTCATCTCTTTTAAATATCCGAATATAAAGTAAAATTAGAACAAGTAATACAGCATTGATTGTTAATATGAATAACAGCCAACAATCTTTAAATAATTTGTCAAACATAGATGTTAACAGTCCTGATTTTTATAGCACTGTTCAACAAGAAATATATAACGATATGGCACGATTAAAAAAGGATATTCGAATTATTACAAAGTTAAGAAGTGAGTTTCAAAACATATTTCAAATAAATACTTATGTAATTAAAATATATTGTAGGTATTAGAAAGGTACTCTGTATAATTTCCAAAAATATTATTCTCGCTCAATTACTTGACCGTACTTTCTATCTAATCTAAAAAGTTTATTCTTGAAGGTTACAACAGATTTGTACCACTAACTTTTAAAGTGCGTTGTTTTCATTAAATATATATCTATATCTATACATATAATAAAATTGTAACTAAGCCGAATCTGTACATTAAATATTTTTTGGAAAATCTTCTTGAAATAGGCATTATTGTCGATACAGAGGCCGAATCTATAGTTTTTAGAATTTTTGTCTGTCTATCTGTCTGTTACCGCATCACGGGAAAACTACTGGAGGGATTTTGATGAAATTTGGTATGGTGATAGCTGGTTATCCGGGTCAACATATAGGATACTTTTTACCGCGGAAAATAACTCATTTCTGAGAAAAAATGCAAAAACTACAATGTAGTATACTAATATGTAAAACCTAAGAATTTGGCTTTTGGTCATCTGAACGCGGGCGGAGCCGCGGGCAATGGTAGTTTAAATATATGTTACTAGCTATCAAAAAAACTTTCAGTGGAGGCTGCTGAAATGGAAGTAGAAATTGCAGCCCTTTATCACTCTGAACTGTGGTATAATATTGAAGATCTCAAAAACCATACGGAAGAAAATGCATCATCTAAATAATTTTAAATAAATGTTTTGTTTCTTTTTTCATATACATATTTCAAATTATTTTACAATTTAAGCTACTTCTTAGCCATTGAATGCATTGTAAATACAATTTTAAAAACGATATTAGTTATTACATGTTCTTATGAGTTATCAATAACTTATAATTAAATTAGTACCGATTGAACGTTGACATACAGATAATAGGTATTATAACTTATTATTCGAATACAGTGCTATGTATAGCGCAGTAAGGACCATATTAGGTTAAAAGTTCAAAGAAGCCTCCTATATTTCTCATAACGTTTTCCTTATTTACACAAAAGGATGTTATTTTCGAACGCGGTGCCACAATTCTGATATTATTTTGAGGACCATCTCGAATTAGCAACATCATGTCGCAGACATTTTTAACTCTTTTAATTTCAATGTTAATTATTAATTACATTGAAGGAAAATCACCTCCTTACTGTACACATGTATCCAAAGGTAAGTTTTTTTATCTGAAAACTAAGTGAAGCTGTTGTAATATAATTAAAATGTAGCAACATTTTTAAATAAAATTAGTTTTTGGCCGCGAATTCGCTCGCATGATAAGCGGGCTAGGAATTATAGGTAACCTATGTCCGTTCATCCACAGGATGCAATGTATGTCTTTGCCACATTGAAATCTGTAAAAGATAACTGACCGACAGACTTATTGCTTAAAACCATTTACTTTCACGTTACACATTCAACTAATCAATTTTAGCATAATATTTTAGAACTTACGTAATCAAATCTCGGAAGTCGGTTTACCCTATATTTAATTACCTAGAAACCGTATCGATAAAAAAGTAAAAAAGTACCTACGGTACATAATATGTTTAAGTATACGAAAGTATAGATACAAATGGTAATTCAATAAATTGATACCAGCACGATCTGATCTAGGCACAGAAATCTTAATAGTAAGGTAATAGAAATGCCATTGCGGTCTTTTAGTACTGGGGCGCGTGTCGCCGGCTTGCAGCTACCAACACATTGACAAACAATAAATACACACTATCGCTCACACGTGCATTTTGCATTGTTGCAACAAAAATTAAACTTTAAGCGATGACATTACGCAATATTTTCTAAAAACGCATAATCTCAGAACCCGTGATCCCTGTGACCAATAATAAACGTGTGCGAAAAGCACAGAATGATATCGCGCGCTCACTTCTAGTGCAGCACAAAGCGCATAATGCTCATATCGATAATTTTCCGTTGAGTCTTGCAACAATAGGTAACTAATTTATTGAAAGTGTTTTATGTTTCATTCCTCGACGCGATTTTAGACGATTTATTTATTTTCATAAAGGGAATACAATAAAACGTTAAAAGTAAGTAATTTTTTTATTATTATATAGTTATACACTCAACAGCTACTATATACTCAACAGTGATATATTGTTTTTAATTCTAGTTTAATTTAATGAAGAGTCTGACTGAATTTTGTTTTTATAATGTTTTTATTGACTTGCATATATATGCATAAGTGATATAAAAATTGACTTGTATCACTACATATATGTTATTATATTCTAAATTGGGTGTATACCTTTGCAATAAATATTATTATTATTATACAAAAGTTATGCAAACTATTTGTTAAAATCCTATACATTTTTAACATGACTTAATTTTTTTTATAGAATTTCTATGTTATGTTTATCAAACAACTCGCCCTTAGAATTATTTACTCAATCAAATCAAATCAAAAAAAAATTGGTAAATGCGGAACATGTCAACGATACAAGGATATTCAACGCATACTGTTTTTGACTTACCCATATACATAACAATAATAAGCCTACCTCCTAATAATTTTCTGAATGAAAAAGTAGTTTAAAAGTACGAATTTACAGTATAATCGTTGATAAATGACTTTTTATAAATTATTCAGACAGAAAGAAAACATACATAATGAGATGTAACAATTAAATATTTAACGAAAAATATTAAGCCAAACGTAATAAATTTTCGATAAAAAGTTGTGGTGGCACGTCACTAATTCGCGGCTAACTTATGCGGCGTGTCCTTGGAATTTACGTACGCGACAATATTGTTCTTTACGCATGACTATTATTTCATTGCTGCTTTTAGCAGTTGTAATAGTAGACATGAACAAGCTTAAGTGGTAATGGTTATTGAATTGAAAAAAACAACGTTTTCCTGCGATAATCGTAGTAGTGGTGGTGATAACATTTGATTTGGCTATATTTCTTAAAAACGACATTATTTCAAAAATTAAGTACTTATATATGAAATGTTATCCCTTTATTTGTAAAGTTACAAATTGTGGAAGAATTTCCGCAGTTGGATATGCTGCAAAACACCATGTTTACCTCTCCGTGTCTCAAATAACACTAGTTACCGCAACAAACGCTTTACACGCGCTTGTGACCTACGAGTCACATGCGCGGCGACAAGGTCACGCGTCTATGCCACTTCTATTAGCTTATTATTAAGATTTCTGTGGATCTAGGTATATTGGATTGAGGATATGCATAGTGGAACTCTTCAATATATCTTCGAGTTTCGGTTCATTTAATTTGTCTCGAAGAGTCTTATCCATTTATCTTGATAAAAACATGCTTTTTAGGTTTTTTTTACCGACTTCCAAAAAAATTTGTTTCGGTATACTTCCCAGGTGGTCCTATTTAAATTTTATCGAAAACGGTCGAATGCTTTTTTAAGAAATCAACAAATATACATATTTTTTTAATAAATTGCTTCATCGAATATGTTATTAAAAAAAATTCTTCTTACTAATTACCTGCTTATTATGTCTACACTAAAAATGTAAAAATAAAAACTTAAAAAAATTAAAAATCCAACTTCCAGGCACTAAAATGGAAAAAATAACTAAACGGGGATTTTCATTAAAAATAGATACCTAATTAGATATTTTCTAAGTCGGTGCCAGCCGATGCAAAGCAAATCTAATATATTTCGATACCTAAAATACATCACAAATTGATGTATAATAATATTTTAACTATAATTAGAATTTATTGTTCATACCAAATCATATGTACCTATTAGATATTCATAATGTAAGGTTGCATTTTTATATATTGAGTGTTTAATAGAAAATAATATATTTGGTTAATTTGTAATGATTTATGTATAAGGCATTTACTTATGTGACCTTGGCCGATAGGAATGTGTTTAAAAAAAATAAAAAGGGCCGCGGATATTCATTTGTTTTCCCGCGCTTTTGCACAGAGATGTCGGTATCACCCTGTGGCATGGTAATATTATGCATTACATTACCGTGCCTGTTCCTGTAGTGACTAGCCACCACCCACGAATTGTTTGTAATACTAAAAATTATGATTAACTCACTGACAATTATAAAAGTACTAAATATAAGAATATAAGCAAGGAATATCTCGAAGTTTTATTAGGGATCTGAAAATAATAATATTAAAATATTGTCGGCTGGCACAGACTTCGAAAGTATCTGATTAGGTATCTATCTATTCTAAATGAAAATCCCCGTTTAGTTATTTTTTACATTTTAGTGTCGGTTTTTTTTAAGATTTTTATGTTTTTATTTTTATTCCAGGTACCGACCATGTAGCCCGATTTAAATATGAATATCCACCGACCTACATTCCACCTGGAAAACATGAAACATATCAAAAAGTATGTATATAATTAATATCTAATCTGCACAAAATTATAATATAATTAACAATAAAATACAAATATACATAAAATATTATAATTTATAATATACCTACACTATACATAGATTTAGGAATGATTTGTATTTTTGTATGTTTGTAACGAATAAACTCAAAAACTACTGGGCTGATTTAGATGACATTTTATAAGAAGATAGTTTGAGACCCTGGGAAGGACATTTTCTCCAGAAATCATCCCTTAAGAGGAGTGGTATGTGGATGAAAGTTTGTATGGGGAATCAATCTAAACGCTAGTAGTATAATAAAAGTATGATAAGTACGATAGTAGTATAATAAAATTTTAAATGAAACTATCTTTTCGGATTTTGGTCGCGGTTTCATTTTGAGTTCGAATCGATGGTTCGAAAGCTGTAACCAAAAAGGGAGAAATGTCTCTCCCGTGACCACGTTAACCTTATTTTCATTTAAATTAATGTCAAATATTCCTGTAAATCTATGACAGTAGGATAATGCATAGCTTGACTCGGAGTTTTTCAGAAAAGACCTGACCTAAATACAAAAAGTAATCCAAATCTTTAGATCCATTTCCGAGATACACGAAATAAATTTGTATATACACATATTTACAAGAATTGCTTATTTATTAAAATAAACAACATATTAACATTACGAAATAAACGTTAGACACTTCTTTATCTCTACTTATGATATATTTTTAGATGTTTTGCCTGAATCCGGCAGCGGTTAACAAAGCAGTAACTGTGGTATGCGACTTGGTAGCGCCTCCTCAGGTACAATTCACACTTGGGGACGACTACATGCATGTGGTGCGACAAGACCCTAGCGGCCGTTTTCTCAGCAGAGCTACTATCACCACTTACCAGCTATGCAGCCATAATATGACAAATGAAATCGATTTATTCTATGGACCTGATCTAATAATTACGGAATTTGATTTTGATTACCTGTAACGTAATGTGCTGCTAAAATAAATATAATTATAAGTATTTATTTTTTATATTACTAACCATATGGTTTCGCTCAAATGTTCTTTTTATTTTCTTTTCTTTTCCACATTTAATTTACTTTTAATTAATAATAACGCAATTATCGTACAATTTAAGTGACCTCAGTGCCTCATAGTTTATACGGAGTTTCACATCAAATAAAAATGTATAGATTAAGGCTATACCCGTTTATGAGTTACATATTAACAAAATGTTGTACAAGATGTCACAGACGGGTAGAAGATTTGGTTCTACCTATTATTAAAACCAACTTTTCAGTAGGTATTTAAATTTTAAATCACTTTTTATGTGTTTTTTATTTGTATAAGATACTTGCTTTTTAACTATCCCACGGGAACTCTTTAATTTTCCGGGATGAAAAGTATCTAAGATGTTGACTGGGGATATAAGATACCACAAATCGGTGCAACAGTTTCGGAGTTTAGCCCGTACAAACAGACAAACAGACAGAGAAACATAACATTTAAAAAATAACTGGATTTGTTCTATTTCTCTTCTTACACCCCCCTGACTCAGTTTTTAACCTTTTTTTCTATTTTTTTTATGAGACTAAGGGGGTAAACGGGCAGGAGGCTCACCTGAAGAAGTGATCACCGCCGCCCATGGACATCTGCAACACCGCAGGGCTGCAGATGCATTGCCGGCCTTTAAGGAATGAATACGCTCTCTTCTTGAAGATAGCCAGGTCGTAGCGGTTCGGAAAGACCGCCGGCGATAGCTGGTTCCACAGAGTGGTTGTGCGGGGCAGAAAATGCCTTAAAAATCGAGGTGGTGTGGATGGTATTTAATATTTTGGCGCGATGTCCGATGGTGAAATTCAGCAGCCGGGATCAGTCCGTACAATTCCTCGGAACACTCCTCGTGATAGAAGCGCTAGAAGATGCAGAGTGGTCCAACACCTCTACGCAGAGCTAAAGGATCAAGCCGATCGGAGAGAGCTTGATCGTCGATAACTCGAGCCGCCCTACGTTGAATGCGGTCAAATGGAAGTAGCTGGTACTGGGGAGTTCCCGCCCAAAGATGAGAACAGTACTCCATGTGGGGCCGAATTTGCGCCTTATAAAGAATAAGACGCTGACGCGACGTGAAGAACTGTCTCGCCTTGCTGAGCACAACAAGCTTCTTTGAGGCCAGTTTGGCCTTACCTTCCAACTGACCACGGAACTGAACGTTCGGTCGACGCCAAGTATTTCGATACTGGCTGTGGGAGACAGAGGAGTGTCCTCAGATTGAGGAGCTACGATAAATGGCGACTTTTTAGCGGTTAACGCGCAAACTTGTGTCTTTTTGGGGTGGAATTGGACTAAGTTTAGTCGACCCCAATCCGAGACTTTGGTTAACAAAGATTCGACTTCAGACACAAGTTTATTCCGGCTCTCGTCGACGTATTCCCGAGAAATATTAGCGCGGCCAGTGTACAGCGCAACCACAGTGCTATCGTCTGCATAGCAATGAATGTTGCTGATTTTCAACATGTCATTGATATGCAGAAGGAACAGAGTAGGAGACAGTACACAGCCAGATCAGAGCAAGCACCGTCGACAACGACCTCAATGCTCCGATCTGCCAAAAAGCTGGTGATGCAGTTGCAAAATTTCTCGGGGAGCCCAGGGATTGTACTATTTCGAAAAATGCTAAAATACGTAGGTATTTATTTAATTGTATAGAAAAGCATTAATACCAAGATTCAAGTAATTCTGATCATAAATAATTCTTTGCCCATAATAAACAAAAAAATGAAATAAATATTTTTTTTAATTTTTTTGTGTATTTCACATTAAGAATGACAGAGATTCATAGATCTTTAATCCTCTATTTTACCCACTTAGGAAATGAATTTCAAAAAATCTTTTTGTTATCTTCCTACGTCTTATAAGGAATACGTTATCCAAATTTTACGTTTCTACGACCAGCGGTTTAGGCTGTGTGTTGATCCATCAGTCTGTCAGTACCACCGCAGGATGCACCTCTCGTTCTCAATTCTACCTTCAGCTTCTAATTTCCAGGTACAATACATTGCACAGGTAGAAGAGATTAGAGCACTAAAGTGCATTATGCGGCATAACGCTAACTTCGCATGTTCCAAATACCGCAACGCTCCGCTCAATCGAGCATTTTGAAAAGTAGGTACTGCTTTGGCGTGATGCGCGAAAGGATACCAACTCATTAACAGAAAAAGTGTTTTTTCTTAAAGGTGGCATTGATCAAAATTTTATTGACAATTTACACTAACATCGTTAGTAATATTTGTTTATATTTTATTTATATAATTATATATTAATAATATTATCATATATTTATTATATATTTTATAATTTCCAAGATATGTACTCGTATTATTATATATTACACACATATTAGTTAAATTGGAGGTTCTTTACGCACGCTTGTCTTGGAGGGTGAACTGGTGAATGCGTTACGAAAAAATGAACTACACTGAACCTAGTGCCCTCTGCTAGTGCACTTGAAAACTAATTCACGTTCCAATTAAGCATTACGGCATTATGCTCTGTAATTGGAAAACAAGGAGAGATATCACAATAAATTGCTTAACCTAAGACTGAGTGTAAATAGGCCATACGTGTGGCGCCGTTCTTAAGGCCTCAGGGATTGCTCAAAGCAATTGAGATGATTACGTCTACATTAGTTTACGAAAGCGCAGTAGGGGAAACTAAGAGCTTTGCTTACTTTTGTTGACAAGGGGGAGGAAGGGGTTAATAATTACTAAAATTCTACTTACGTAAAACCTGAATGATATTGACTATTTTTCATCGAACGTTTTAACAGAGCCAAGAATGTCCAGTAAACTATGAACCAATTGTAACCTATAATAAAAAAATAGTAATGCCAATCTTTTTTCCCCTCTCCTGGTGCGCGTAAAGAAGTTTCACTTCAAAAATGAAAAAAATAAATTAATCAGCCAAGTTAATGGTGTGAAAATATGGATCATAGTGTAAGTGGATAAAAACAAAAAATGCCCAAAACTTATAATGTCGCTATTGGTACAAAAACTTGTCATTATTGTTATCCAAGCTTTAAGATATTAATTTTTCTGATTTTTTTTTACATTTTTCTTTTTTTCTGTTTAGTACTTAACAGCGACAGCGTTTGTTTTAAACATATTTCAATTAACTGGATCATGTTTATGTCTAATTCATCAATGATATTTATTATCTATGTAACTCTAAATAAAATGAATACAACTTTTAAGGTACCCTACCCCAGCCTGCAAATTTATGATATTCGCAATGAAAAAAATACTAATCGATAGATTTTTAATAGCTCAATTTAACTACGTAGCCCTTCCAAATTGCTCACCATTAATTATAAAATTAAAAATCAATAAAGTCCTTGAAAAAAAATTCATTTATCCGTATATTCAAACTCCTATATCTTTTGATGTATACAATATTTCAAATTGCTCAAAGTTCTAAAACACTGCTCAAGTTGCATTTGTAATTGCTCAAGTAGAGTTCTCACCAGCTCCACTTTCCTTAATTATAAAATAAATATAAATAGTTTGAATAAATTTAACGTATAGATAGGTGAGTGCTGCGCATGCGCGCAAACAGCAGTATTATTAAATTATTGATTGCTGATCAGAGTTCAAAATTCCTATATATTAAAGGCAGTTTATATTCATGCAGTTTGTTTCTTTGAAATAAAAATGTCATTAAACTATATGTATATTTAAAAATAAAAAAAGTTCCGTCTTGTATTGATGTTAATAACATTTTACTAATGATCCCTGTCATGGCTATTACCTTAATAGAATAAGCATTTGAACATAAGATTTTGTCTTAATTTATCTGTTGGTATTAATTTTCATTTATTGGTAGATTCCAGATCTGTTCTTTATGTTATAATATCTGAAGTGGAATCACGTAATGTGAACAATTCATAAATTCAATAAATTTAAAGAAATCCACCGAGAAACAGAATTAAGACGTTGAATTGGAACGATTGTCCAAGCCCGCCGAGGCCGACCGACAATGCGCGGTGCGCATGCGCACGCTCACTTAACCTACGTTACATTTATTACAACTATACTTTTAATTATTTAATAATCAGCGAAAGTGGAGCTGGTAAAAACTCTACTTGAGCAATTACAAATGCAACTTGAGCAGTGTTTTAGAACTTTGAGCAATTTGAAATATTGTATACATCAAAAGATATAGGAGTTTGAATATACAGATAAATAAATTTTTTTTCAAAGACTTTATTGATTTTTAATTAAATAATTAAAGGTGAGCAATTTGAAAGAGCTATGTAGTTAAATTGAGCTATTGAAAATCTATCGATTAGTATTTTTTTCATTGCAAATATCATAAATTTGCAGGCTGGGGTAGGGTAGGTCAACTTTTATTTGTCATCCATGAATACAACACTCTATAATCAGGTAGCTATGACTGTGAAAAGATAAAAAAGACGTGTGGCACTCGGAGACTGCCGCGGGAAAGCTATTGCATAGCATTTTTTATCAACTTATGCAATTATAATTATTTATTTATTTTATTAATGCAGTATTTTTTCCTTTGTTTTTTTTCTTTGATATTAATTCAATAAAATGAATAATAAAATGAATGTATATAGAGTACTTACTCATTTTCTTTCACTATTTTTTCGTGACTTTCTTCATTAATAAATGCACTTTGTTTATTCATATTTAAAACACTTTGTACACAAATTATACGAGACCTACCCTACCCCAGCCTGCAAAATTATGATATTTACAATGAAAAAAATACTAATCGATAGATTTTCAATAGCTCAATTTAACTACGTAGCTCTTTCAAATTGCTCACCTTTAATTATTTAATTAAAAATCAATAAAGTCTTTGAAAAAAAATTAATTTATCTGTATATTCAAACTCCTATATCTTTTGATGTATACAATATTTCAAATTGCTCAAAGTTCTAAAACACTGCTCAAGTTGCATTTGTAATAGCTCAAGTAGAGTTTTTACCAGCTCCACTTTCGCTGATTATTAAATAATTAAAAGTATAGTTGTAATAAATGTAACGTAGGTTAAGTGAGCGTGCGCATGCGCACCGCGCATTGTCGGTCGGCCTCGGCGGGCTTGGACAATCGTTCCAATTCAACGTCTTAATTCTGTTTCTCGGTGGATTTCTTTACATTTATTGAATTTATGAATTGTTCACATTACGTGATTCCACTTCAGATATTATAACATAAAGAACAGATCTGGAATCTACCAATAAATGAAAATTAATACCAACAGATAAATTAAGACAAAATCTTATGTTCAAATGCTTATTCTATTAAGGTAATAGCCATGACAGGGATCATTAGTAAAATGTTATTAACATCAATACAAGACGGAACTTTTTTTATTTTTAAATATACATATAGTTTAATGACATTTTTACGTTTGCGTTACTGTTTGCGCGCATGCGCAGCACCAGTTTATAACTATAGTCTTTGCGCAGCACCAAAGAGTATAGTTATAAACTGCGCAGCACTCAGCCACTCACCTATCTATACGTTAAAATTATTCAAACTATTTATATTTATTTAATAATTAAGGAAAGTGGAGCTGGTGAGAACTCTACTTGAGCAATTACAAATGCAACTTGAGCAGTATTTTAGAACTTTGAGCAATTTAAAATATTGTATATATCAAAAGATATAGAAATTTGAATATACGGATAAATGAATTTTTTTTCAAGGACTTTATTGATTTTTAATTTTATAATTAATGGTGAGCAATTTGGAAGGGCTACGTAGTTGAATTGAGCTATTAAAAATCTATCGATTAGTATTTTTTTCATTGCGAATATCATAAATTTGCAGGCTGGGGTAGGGTACCTTTATACGAGTACAGATATTCACTGTTGTACATAGATGATAAATACTTATCCACCTATATACTTTCTCACAAACAGCTGATTACGGTAGTTTTCCAATACAACCAATGCCACCTAAAGGCGGGTTGCTGAACTAAAGAGACAAGCGTGATATTTCAAAAAGTCATTAAAAGTTCTGGTATTTATCGATAGATGGAAAAAAGTATCACCGCTGTGCCGGTCGGAGTGGGGGGTGTTAGGTTTTTTTCGTTACGTAATTTCTGGATTCGGTCCCCACGCTCAAGGCCCGCGATAGAAGCTATGCAATAGCTTAAAAAAACAAGGTTACAGTAATGTTAATTTTAATCTATGGAGGGTAGAAGTAAGGAGAACCGTCTTTTATGGGGGATTAGTTGAAAAAGTGTCCACTTGTAAACAGCAAATTATTGTTCGAGCAACTCACCGAAATAGCGCTTGTGTAGGAAATGGAAATGATATTAATTTAGCAGTTATAAGCAGAGTGAAGTGTGGTGCGTTGAAAAATGTTTGTCTGTATATTATAATAATTTAAAAAAATGCGCTGTTACAAACCGGAAACTTTTCTTTTCTTTTTTAATTTAGTATTCTACTCTAATAATTTGTTGCGCTCCTTTTAAAATTCTTCCGCTTGCTACTATAGCGCCACCTTAATTTGCTTCCTTTAAACGGACACTTTTTAGTACACTGAGATGGTCCTCCTTACTTCTACCCTCCATAATTTTATCGAAAATGGCAGTTTTTCAGGTTATCTGTGTGTAATCAGGCGCGAATCTTTGAAAGTTCAAAATTTTATACTTTCGTCCCTTTTTACTACCCGAATATAAAGTAAAATTAGAACAAGCAATACCGCATTGATTGTTAATATGAATAGCAGCCAACAATCTTTAAATAATTTGCCAAACATAGATGTTAACAGTCCTGATTTTTATACCACTGTTCAACAGGAAATATATAACGATATGGCACGATTAAAAAAGGATATTCGAATTATTACAAAGTTAAGAAGTGGGTTACAAAACATATTTCAAATAAATACTTACGTAATTAAAATATATTGTAGGTATTAGAAAGATACTCTGTATAATTCCCAAAAATATCTTTCTCGCTCAATTACTTGATCGTATTTTCTATCTAATCTAAAAGTTTATTCTTGAAGATTACAACGGATTTATACCACTAACTTTTAAAGTGCGTTGTTTTCATTAAATTTAAATATATTTTAGTAACTATCAAAAAACTTTCAGTGGAGGCTGCTGAAATGGAAGTAGAAATTGCAGCACTTTATCACTCTGAACTGTGGTATAATATTGAAGATCTCAAAAACCACATGGAACAAAATACATCATCTAAATAATTTTGAATAAATGTTTTGTTTCTTTTTCCATAATATATTTCAAATTATTTTACAATTTAAGCTACTCTTACCCACTGAATGCATTGTAAATACAATATAAAATATGATATTAGTTATTACTTGTTCTTATGAGTTGTCATTAACTGATAATTATTAAATTAGTACCGATTGGACGTTGACATACAGATAACAGGAATATTATTATAACTTGTTATTCGAATAAAGTGCTATGTATAGCGCAGTTAGGACCATATTAGGTTAAAAGTTCAATAAAGCTATATAGTTTCTTCCTATATTTCTCATAACGTTTTCCTTATTTACACAAAAGGATGTTATTTTAGAACGCGGTGCCACAATTCTGATATTATTTTAAGGACCATCTCGAATTAGCAACATCATGTCGCACACATTTTTAATTATTTTAATTTCAATGTTAATTATAAATGACATTGAAGGAAAATTAAAGATTTATTCACCTCCTCACTGTACGCATTTATCCAAAGGTAAGTTTTTTATCTGAAAACTAAGTGAAGCTGTTGTAATATAATTAAAATGTAGAGACATTTCTATTAAAATTAGTTTTTGGCCACGAATTCACTCACATGATAAGCGAGTCATGAATAATAAGTAGCCTAGGTCCGTCCACAGGATGCAATGTATGTCCCTGCCACACTGAAATCTGTTAATCTATAAAAAGGTAACAGACCGACAGACTACTTAATACTATTTACTTTTACATTACACATTTAACTAATGAATTTTAGCATATTTTTAGCAGTTACGTAATCAAATCTCGAAAGTCATTTTACCCTATATTTTATTACCTAGATACCGTATCGATAAAAAACTCAAAAAGTACCTATGGTAGGTACATAATATGTTTAAGTATACGAAAGTATAGATACAAATGGTAATTCAATAAATTGATATCAGCATGATCTGATCTAGGTATATTGGATTGAGGATATGCATACCTTCGAGTTTGGGTTCATTTAATTCGTCTCGAAGAGTCCTATCCATTTATCTTGGTAAAAACATGCTTTTTAGTTTTTTTATACTGTAATGTTTTTATTTTTATTTCAGATACGGACTATGTATCCCGATTTAAATTTGACTATCCACCGATGTATATTCCAGCTGGACAACATGAAGCATATCAAAAAGTATGTACATACGTAATTAATATCTAATCTGCACAAAATTATAATATAGGTAACAATAAAATATAATATACATTAAATATTATCTACATATATAATAAAATTGTAACTAAGTCGAATCTGTACATTTAATATTTTTTGGAAAATCTTATTGAAATAAACATTATTATCGATACAGAGTCCAAATCTACAGTTTTTAGAATTTTTGTCTGTCTATCTGTCTGCTACCACATTACAGAAAAACCACTGGAAGGATTTATATATATAGGATACTTTTTACCGCGGGAAAATGTCCCATTTTTGAGAAAAAATACAAAAACTGCAATATAAGAGTATACTAATCTGTAAAACCTAAGAATTTGGTTTTTGGTCATCTAACTGGGGGCGGAGCCGCGGGTAGTGCTAGTAATTTATAATATACCTACACTTTACTTAGATTTAGGAAAGATTTGTATTTTTGTATGTTTGTAACGAATAAACTCAAAAACTACTGGGCTGATTTAGATGAAATTTGGTAAGGACATAGTTTGAGACAACTGGAAAGACATTTTTTCCAGAAATCCTTAAGACGAAGGGAGGGGGGGATCGGTATGAAAGTTTGTATGGGGAATCGACCTAAACGCTAGTAGAATAAAATTTTAAATGAAACTATCTTTTCGGATTTTGTCGCGGTTCCATTCTAAGTTTTTGTTTCCGACGGTTCGAACGCTGTAACCACAAAGGGAGAAACGTTTCTTCTGTGACTATGTTAATCATGATATTTTTATATAAAATGTCAAATATTCTTGTAAATCTATAACAGTAATGTGACAGTAGGATAACGCATATAGCTTGACTAGGAGTTTTTTCAGAAAATACCGTATCTAAATACAAAAGGTAATCCAAATCGATAGATCCGTTTGCGAGATACACGAAATAAATTTGTATATACACATATTTACAAGAATTGCTTATTTAATATGATAAACAACATAATAATATTACGAAATAAATGTTAATCACTTCTGTATCTACACTTATGATATATTTTTAGATGTTTTGCCTAAATCCGGCAGCGGTTAACAAAGCAGTGACTGTGGTATGCGACTGGGTAGCGCCTCCTCAGGTAGAATTCACACTTGGGGACGACTACATGCATGTGGTGCGACAAGACCCTAGCCGCCGTTTTCTTGGAAACGCTACCATCACCACCTACCAGCTATGCAGCCATAATATGACAAATGAAAACGATTTATTCTTTGAACCTAATGTAGTAGTTACGGAATTTGATTTTAACCACCTGTAATGTAAGCTGTGTAAATAAATATAATTACAAGTACCTATAGTTTTTTTTATTACTAATCATATGATACGGCTTCGCCCGAATGGTCTTTTAATTTCCTTTTCCACATTTAATTGGTTTAAATTAATAATAACGCAATTGTCGTACAATTTAAGTGACCTCATAGTTTATACGGAGTCTTACATAAAATAAAAAAGTATTTAAGGTCTATACCCGTTTATTAGTTTATACTAACAAAACATTGTACAAGATATCACAGACGGGTAGGAGATTTGGTTCTACTTATTATTAGTTTAAAACAAACTTTTCAGTAGGTAACCTATAAAATCAAATAAAAATGAACTGTGATATAATGTATATATATATATATATATATATATATATATATATATATATATATATATATATATATTAGACACTAATATATAGTATATAACTTATTTGATTTCATAGAACATTTACATAAAAGCTTGTTTTTTAAATGTTTTAACTTTTTTTAATGTTTCTTTCTTTTTTTCGTATTCTTCTCAGCAAACCAGTTCATTTGATTTCTAATATCTATATCATGGGGGGTGTAAAATAAACAGTCCGCCATATTAAATTTTATAATGACGTCACTTTGCTTATTGTGTTTCGCTCATCAAGCCCTTTCATTTGATACCCATATCATATGGGTAACTATGGAAATAATAAATCGCTATATTGTAACGTCCGTCCGTCGTATTGGATTAAAATAGTGGCATTTAGGAAATCGTGCAGTCACGAGAGTCAAACGTGTGTGCCAAATTTCAGCTCAATCGGACAACTGGAAGTGGGTCAAATTTAACATGTAAGATTTGATTACAGACACACACCGAGACAGGTGAAGCTAAATAAAAGCTTGTCATAATTTTTATATTTATCCATGTAAAACACGCGTTGTGTATATAGAAATAAAATAAAATATAAAAAAAACTTCACATTGTAGGCAATAACGACTAACTTCACACTGTAGTCAATAACAACTTTATTTTATACTGTAGTCCAAATCTGCGCAACGTAAAAAATCACTCATCATCCATTTTTCAGTTTTCATAACGCGCCAAAAGAAGTATAACTTTAAAAATGCTATAAAATAGTGTTCAGTTGATTTGATTCGGCTGAAACTTTGTGTAGTGTTTGTGTATTTAATCTGTAATGAGTTGTCTCGGGTGCACGGGTAGGGGATTGACACTTGACAGTTATGTGCATAGAGTATATTGCTACATATATAAAGTTACGTGCATAGAGTATATTGCTGCATATAGTTACGTGAGAGCCGAGGCGGTGCGAGCGTACGTGTTAATCCTGCATACTGGTGACCAAACGAGCCAGTTTTTACTTGTATTTTACGCAAATACTACACTTTGGTTAATTATATTATGTGTAGTTTGTAAAACTATGATGATTGAAAGTTTATATGGACACAGCAAAGGCAAAAATTGATAATTTCAGAGAAGACTTAGAGGATAGGAGGTGATAGCACCTCCCCCCCAACGTGCGTTCACCTTGTCGTGGTGGGGGGGCTCAGTAGTCCCCGGCAACCCAACCGGGCGCGAAGCCAATAAACGCACAGGGAGGTGTCCCACTTCGGTGGGCGGTGGGAGGTGGCCCTCTTCGGGGGGCAGTGTACCATGCGGGTTGCTCCTGGTACTTCTCTGATAGCAGAGTGGACTGTGGAGCAACCCCGTGGTTGTTGTGGTCTGATTCGGCAGACCTGCCGTCGGGGCGTCGTAGTTGAATGCGTAAGCGATCCTGCGACGCCCCATTAAGACGGGGGAAGGTTTTGTTGGGTTTTAGTGGGTAGTACTGGCTTTGCCGGTGAGTCCCACACCTCGTGCGTAAATGCATTTCCCAACGTTAAAAAAAAAAAAAGGTGATAGCACCTCCTCTAGTTTTACCTATCTTAAATATTTTAATGAGAACCTACTTTGTAAATAAAATATCATTTTATTTTGGATTACAGTTTAGTTTTGAGAAAAGGGGAAAAAAACTAGATGTTATTACATTTTCTATCAAAACTTTATTTTCGCTATTGACAACTAACAATAGTTACGCCGTCAACTATAAAAAATCTCAAAATAATAAAGGGAATTTACAATTTTTAAGGTCAAAAATTTTATAGTCTAATTGTAAGAAGGGTATGCAACGTGGTTTATATTATAATTTAGTCACGAGAGCGCATATTGATGTCATCGTGCCTCTCCCTTTCTGTTTCGCGATGGTCTCCAGAAACTCGAGCACCTGCCGATGTTCCGGCTTCATCATGCTTACCAGGTGAGTGTGGCCCAGAAGGAGCAGATTGTACTAAACGTCCCATTAAACTTGAACTTTTATCCTTCCGAGGTCTTGTCCATTCGTGGGATAGAACACGGTCTAGCGTCAGCCGAAGCGTAATGTCAGGTTCAAGGATATGTCTAACTATTGACTTAGCCGCTGCCGTCACAGTATCACGAATTCTCGAGCGAAATACCCAATTTCGTGACATCTGATCTTTCAGAAGTTTCCGTAGATTTGAATCGTCAAATGGCATTGAAGCATTCAACATTATAAAAAGTATAATTCCAAGAGACCAAACATCTGCAAGTTTTGGATTATAAGGCGTCCCGCTTACCACTTCTGGTGCAGCATACGCAGCGGATCCACAATAAGTTTGACTTAGCACGCGTCTACTCTCACTATCGGTACAAATTCTTGCAAACCCAAAATCTGCTAATTTTACGTTGAATCTTTTTGACAGTAAAATGTTTTCACATTTTAGATCACGATGCGCAATATTTTTGCTGTGAAGATATTGTAGGCCACTAGCCATTTGTCGGAACCATAATTTTGCTTGATTTTCTGGTACAACGCCGTTTCTTTTTATGAAATCTAATAAATCACCATTATCGGCATAGCGCATAAATATAAACACTTTTGGCCCTCGCTGTAGAATACTGTGAACCTGAATTATATGTGGATTTTCTATCTTGGTTAGTATATCTAATTCACGAGGAAAAAACTTTTCTAAAAAATCACGAGGTGCCTTTTCTTTATCAAATATTTTACAAGCAAGATGCATGCGCTTAGGATTCGATGCATCACAATATTCTGCCAAATGAACTGTAGCATAAGATCCTTGTCCGATTTTTTTGCCTATCAAATATCCCCGTTGTTCCAAGGCATTGACCTCGGAGCTTCGAGGGCTGAGGCGCTCAGCCATGGAGCTCTAATAACTTTATCCTAACCCGTTTAGGATACATTGGACATCTCACGATTCACGATATGCACAATATTTAGTGGCTCGTCGTTGTCACTAGTTAAATATATATTTGGCCTTTTCTACTCACCTCTCATAAAAGAGAGAAAATAAATATAATATTCGTTAATAGCACGCACAAAATTTTATAAATACATTAGGACATCACAAAGAATTTGGACATAAAAAACGCTTCTTCAAGTAATAAAACTCCTAAAAAGACGTATTTGCTACATTGATCAGTTTTTCTTTTGTTTCTAAAATTAAAACAATTATTTTCAAATCAGCCTATACCCGTTAAAGTAAAAAGTCTTACATGATAAAGTATATATGAATCTAATTATTTTTTATAAACATAAGACACAATAATTATGATAAATTATTCTATGTTTAACTTTCATAACTGTAAATAATCATATAATATTGTTGTACTATTTGTTTTTAAAACTAAATATCTCTCGTCTAATTTAATTTATTTCATAATTATTGTGCGTAAACTAGATAATGCTTATAAAAATATGTATATATTTAGTAGTGAAATTTTTATTTCCATTAATTATTTTTATTATTTTCCTCAGACCATATAAAGAAAGAAAAGACCAATAATAGTTGGCTATGCTAATAAATAATGGATCTAGCAACATTTAATTTTAATGTTAATGTCTTTAGTCTTATGTCATTCTAACAAAATAATCAAGCGGAGATCGGACTAAACAATTAACTTTCTGAAAAATAATAAAAGGAGGCGTTTCCTATATAAAATATTATAATTATTTTGTATTATTACTCATACTCATCGAGATGATGAACCAATACTTAAAAGAGTTAGAACAGGTAATTCCTAGGGTTTTTAATTTAGTAAATTTACAATCGTACGTTAATTTTTTAATATTTTAGGATCCATTTGATCCTGATGAATTCGTGGAGAGAATGGTGCGCCGCAGCATGCAAGAGAGCCGGTTACAGGATGATCAATTTGATCCAGAAATGATACACGACATATTTACCCAAGCTATACAAGATTTAAAAGTTAGTGATTAATTTAATGTTCTACATGAGATAGTAGTGTAGTATTTTAATTCAAATTTGGTAAATATTTTTTTAATAATTATTTTTATTTTATAATATTTATTATAAAAATATTTACATAGATTTTATAAATACTATTTCATTATATTATTTATGTAAAATAATAATGGACAGGTACTTCAAGAAAGACAAGAAAGGAAATGTTCTAGATTAGAACAAGCAGTTCAAGAAGAAGAAAAATCATATATGGCAAAACTTGCTGAAATAATGGACCAGCATTCTGTAAGTTCCTCTTACTAGTATTAATACTTTATTTAAAATATTTAAGATAAAGTCATGAAAATTGATTGAAGTTCTTGTCCTTGTTTTGAATTGAAACAAATATTTATAGAAAATAGAATTTATACAAAATATATTCAAAGTGATTACTTCTGTGGGTGTCCTAAATAATTTTTATATAACTATTTCAGCATTGCGTCAATGTATTTAGCTCATTAGATGAAAGGATGTCACGGTGTGGAGGGAGAGCTTTAGATATAGGAGAAAAACTAGGTGCAGCTAGGGCTCCCAGGGCAAGGGCTGCTGCTGCAAGAGATTTGCTATCACACCTTACGAACTTTCTTAGTCCTGGACCAGTTCTTACTGAATTATTTAATGACCCAAGAAAGGTATGCAAATGCTAATACATAATGAGTAAATGCTTTTAAAGCTTAAGTCTGAGTTTTAAAATAATGACAATGTAAGTAAAATATAAGTTATTTTTCATCAAAAATAATAAAATTGTTTTAATGAATTAGGCTCCCTAAGCCTTTTTTTTTTAACGTTGGGAAATGCATTTACGCACGAGGTGTGGGACTCACCGACAAAGCCAGTACTACCCACTAAAACCCAACATAGCCTTCCCCCGTCTTAATGGGGCGTCGCAGGATCGCTTACGCATTCAACTACGACGCCCCGACGGCAGGTCTGCCAAAGCATACCACAACAACCACGGGATTGCTCCAAGGTCCACTCTGCTATCAGAGAAGTACCAGGAGCAACCCGCATGGCACACCACCCTCCGAAGAGGACCACCTCCCACCGCCCACCGAAGTGGGCTACCTCCCTGTGCGTTTCTTGGCTTCGCGCCCGGTTGGGTTGCCGGGCACTACTGAGCCCCCCACCACGACAAGGTGAACGCACGTTGGGGGGGAGGCTCCCTAAGCCTGCCTTAATAATATTTGAAACACACTGGTAGCAATAAATTAAACGTAATAATACATGTTAAAGACAAAAGCTTTTTGATACTTCTATAAACTTACCCAACCAAAAATCTAGCAATCCAAATTAAATAATTTCAAATTGTTAAAGTATGATGACACTAATAAGAATTATTTATGTATAAAATTTTAAAAATTCTCCATTATGTTTAAAAACAGTCCAGTAGGTTTAAAATGTCTCAAAGACATTATGTAGTAGTTACAGACAGAATACCGACAAAAAAAACTTTGAGACATCTTAAACCTTAGTCCCTTCCGTGACAGTGATTGCTGTTAAGCATTTGAAATGTCGGGAACCAAAAATAAAAATAAATCTGCAAAAGAATCCGAAAAAATATTTTTAAAATGTCAAATATTCGCGTTAATCTAAGAAAGTATTATAGTGATTGGTTACATTGTGTATGCCTATAATAATATATATTATAAACTTTCAATTTATAGAATATAAAAAAAGTTTTTTGAAAATCTATTTTTAGAAGTACATTTAAATATCAGGTACCCTATAAATTTACCCAACATGAGTTGATATAATTTTTTGCTAACCTTCCCAACATTTTTAGTTAAACGAAGCGGCAGATGTCATACAAAAATTATATACAATTTCTCAAGAACTTCCACCTGATAAATTTGAAGTTGCCAGAAAGAAAATAGAGGCAAAATATGATGAAATTGAGAGGAATCTTATAGAAGAGTTCGTAAAAGCACAGAATCAGAATAATATAGCAAAGATGAAGGATATTGCTAATATCATGACTAATTTTAAAGGATATTCACAATGTGTAGACGCTTTTATTGAAACTAGTCAAATGGTAAGTAAAATAATATTTTATGGACTTTAGACTTGACACTTCATTATAATAAAATAGGTATAATTAAAAGTTTTACTTCAAATCGTAAAAAGCTCAATATCTCTACTCTACTCTTGCATTGTTAAAACTAATCTTTAGTCAGCAATCTTTTTCAAAGAAATTTTAACTTATAAAACCGCCACCCAGTACTTAATGTGGTATAACTTATAATTATTATAGATTTAAAAAAGTAAAAGCCAGTACAAATAGTTACGATTTTTATATTTAGCTTTTGTCCGCGGCTTCGCTCGCGCTAAATGAATTTTCAAAAGTCCATTCTTAGTGAATGCCTACATTATAATATCGATGTGCCACATGTTTCAACCCCACCTGTTCAGCCCCACCTATTCAGGTTTGAGCTGTGCGTTGATGGATCAGTTAGTCAGTCACGGTTTTCATTTATATATACGAATTTTAATTCTTTATTTAATAGTCTATTATCAATAAGAAAAAGTATAGTAATTATATACTAGTTGTTCACTCTCGCTTCGCTCGGGTTCGCCTCTAGATAAACAAAAACAAATCTATCCCTCGAGAACCGTATATTTTTCCGGGATAAAAAGTAGGCTATGTGTTATTCCAGACTATAATCTATCTCTGTGCCAAACATCCAGATCCGTTCAGCCGTTCTGGCGTGAAAGAGTGACAAACATACATTCTTACAAACTATCGCGTTTATAATATTAGTAGGACGTAGGATTTATTTACCTTTTTATTTTAGAACACTCTACTTGGGAAGGATATATTTTCTGCAGTACTTCCCCTGTGTAAGAAAAACTATACAGTTATTAGTAATGTGTTCCCTAACCCAGATCAAGTGATGAGTAAGTTTGTGTTGAACATCTTCCACCTTAAACTTCAGAAGTATGTACAAACGAAATTGGCGGACAAGAATGACTTGGAGAAATATTTACGCAACTTATATGACATGTACACTGGGTAAATATGTATTGCATATGAATTAAATATAATACAATTAATTATTTCTTATTATAGTTGGAATATAAAAAAAAATTTTGCAAGTAAAATATGGAATGAAGTTTGTTATTATTTGATTTAATGAATTATATAGTAGTACTAGCGACTTAGCGAGGGTAATTTGCAAGTAGGTACGTTTTATTTTTTTTGAGCAGAACCCTAATGCTTGTTTCTAAAATAAAAGTAGCCCAAGTTATTCCTTACAATAATTCCTCCTAATCCTTCCTAATAATATTAGCTATTTACTAGTGAAAGTCCCGTCAAAATGAGTCCAGCCATTTAGGAGATTAACGGGAACAAATGGACACACAGACAGACAAACATTTAAAAAATTGGGATTTTTTTAGTATTTTAAGTAATTACATATGCATAAATAAGTAATGCAGCATGCAACATTTATTAGCCTGAGCTAACAAAAAACTAACAAATATATCCACAGAGGTGTTTTCTGGTAATGCAAGAACAAACAAAAATGACAAATGTTAAATAGATACATATGAAAATTGTCTGTCTAACCTGTATTTTTTCAGTACACAAAGAGTATGTGACGAGTTGGTAACAGCTAATCTAGTGTCAGCAGATGGGAATAGTTCTACTGGAGACCTCCGTAGAGAAGCTCTCATCAATGGGGCAATGGCTGGTACCACAGATGGTTACCCAGCGTTGGAGATACGACGCCTCAAAGCAGTGCTTTCCAATGCCTTAAATGCATACTATACTGAGAAACACCATGTCAAAAAGCAAATACAGGGTGGAGGGTAATTTGTTTTTATTTTTTATTTATACGTCATTTATTTCAGAGTTATTATTAGTTCATTTAAAATATATTTCACTAGCGACGCTCAGGTGCATCCCTAGGTACGTTTTTAATAGATAAAAATAGTTATTGTGAATGTACCTTAAGAGATATACACACATGTTGTCGCGGAAAATCACTTTACAATCGGTTAAGCCATTTCAAAGATTATCCCGAACAAATAGAAAGACAGACAGACAATTTTTTTTTATAGGATTTGTTTTATTTTTTTTATGTACTGATATCATATAAATATCTATACTTGAGAAAACATAGTTATTTTGAAATTGCAGACAGCCATTTCGATTTGATTTATATGTATAGATTTATAGATTTGAGTTGATGCTATTTATATACTTTGCATTTAAAGATATTAATAATATTTAGAAATATTTTTTGTCTATAAACCTAGTTTTCAGGAGCTAAGACGTGACCTTCAAGCTGTAATCGGAACTCGAGCGAACATAAACATTGCGCAGATTGAAAACTATGGCGGCGAAACATTTCTTAGTGAACAACTCGTTCAAAAGATGTTGAATGATGCAAAAACATCTTTTACTAGATGTAAGACTGTAAGTACATATCTTAAACACTTACTCTGTTTATATAACTTGTTTGTTAGACAGTGAATGTGTTAATACGTAAAAAGTTCTGTTCTTTCCTCAATATATGATTAACAACTTAACTGAAAAGTTAACATTATGTAATCTTTATTGGCTTTTTTAATACATTCTTCGTTATATCATAACCGCAGAATCATATAAGATTTACATATATCACGATACATCAATTGTTCCCCTGGGATAATACTCTATTTAAAGAAAACTGTTAAAGACGCCGACTTCATTCTCTTCTTCACTTATTTAAATGACGATTATCTGATTTTTTCATTATTGTGCAATGCGGGACTCGAACCTCCAACCTTTGAGGTAATAGACATTGCAACTTATTTTTAAAATAACGTAAGCTTTCAATATGTATAACATTTTTTTGTAGGTATGTGTTACATGATGGCCTATTGATTGCCAATTGAACAGCTTTGAATGAGTAATTTATAATTGAAAAATTTAAAAGCAATTATATACTTTGTCGGTAAAACGATGGAGCCATATCTCATAGAACCTATTTATTTAAAAAAAATAATTAAAATTCTACTCTCAACTATGAAATAATGATTCCATAAGTTGTTTTGATATGTGTTTCGTTTTAATCTTAAAAAATAACATGAATATCATCATATAATAATACTATCTTTTTGGATTATTTCGCGGATTTATTTTGATTTTTGGTTCCCTATAGGAAAATAATCCGAAAAGATACTTTTATTTGAAATGTCAAATATTCGCGTAAATCTAAGAAAGTACTATGAATATCATTAGTTATGCACTGCAAACGAGTTGCCGGGTACGACGCTCGCGCTACTGGACACACTCGTCCACCACCTGCTCATGGAGCACGTGGACTACGCGCTCGACCTCGGCCTCCAGTCCATACCCATAGCGGAGAATAAATCCCCACCACAGGTAATACTATTGTTTTATTTCTATGTCGCAATATATATATATATAGATATATATGTATGTATTAACTGGCCAAGTACGAAGGGTTCCGTGCCATCGTATAAGATAGTACATTATGTACTTAATATCAACTTAATCGGACATTTTTTTTAATTTGTATGGCGGGCATTTTGAAATTCGCCACCATCAATTGTTGTTATAGCGGCAATAGAAACACACTCTGTGAAAATCAAATCAACTGTATCTACTACGGTTTATGGACATCATACATTCGACGGACAGCGGAGGCTTAGTAATAGTAACCATTATTTAATGAGTATTAAAAAAAAAATCGTTTTCGTACTTATTAAGCTGTCATTTTTTTCGTAATTATATTATTACATATTATATGACATTAATACTTGTAGATGTATCATACATTTCAAGGTGAACGTTTTTAGATTATAAATAGATATTAGATATTTTGCTATAGACTAAATTTTGTGAAACATTTTGTTTTTATTTCAGATTTATTTCTTTGACACGGTAAATCAAGCGAACAAAATAGTGAAGATGTTTGGAGAACACTTTCAAGAATGTGTTCTACCTTGTATGAGGTACATTAATATTATTAGTGTTTAATGATTGTAATACAGAACAAATAGGATTAAATTATATTATCTATCCCTATTAATGTTTACTATCTTATAAATGACACAATATGTCTGTATGGCACTGTTCATTCATTACCTACTTTTTTTATTACCATTATCTATCTCCGCAGTGCACAGGAAAATCATACATGGTTTTTGTTGCGCTGTTTGTGTTTTGATTAGTGTGTAAATAAATTTCGTGTAAATTTAAATAAATAAATCTATGGCCTGGAGTTTGATTCCGTCTCAGGGTAATTTTATTGATCAAATACTTATTTACTTCGGCCTAGTTAAGGTAAAGACAGCTTTACACTCGATAAAGGTGGAATGGACAATGGAAGCTTCTGAGAGAATCAAAAAGTTATATATTTAAATTTTATTTTTTTAATTAACAGTAAACAAGGAGAATGTATACAGAAAAAGAACACAATAATGGAGCAATTAGAAAATAAATTGGATGCGGGTCTAGAACGAGCGATATCCGCCATTGTGGGCTGGGTCAAACTGCACCTTCAGACGGAACAGAAGAAAACTGATTTCAAACCCGAAGGAGATATTGACACCCTGGCGTCGTCTGTAAGTCTTCTTACTATTAATTTTTACTAGAATTTTGTATACATAATTGGTATGTTTATGTATCCCAGGCAAATACGTATACAATTTTATTTTATTAAATATTTTTTTAATATGCTATATAAGTTTTTTTATCTACCATGCAAATAGAAAATAATTGAAAATGAAAGTGATTGTATTGCTGAAATTTATGTTTTTCTTAAGCATATAACGATAGTATTAAGGTATTAGAAAAAAAAAATGTTTCAGAATTATTAGGAAGTTAAAGAGTTGCATAACTCGTAAATAAAATTTTTCAAGGCCATATTTTCAATCGGATTTCAATTTTATTTATCACTATTATTAATAAACATATTAATTAAAAACTTTTTTATTCTGTATCACAATCTGTTTTCATTCCCTTCTCACTCCTTTTTCACTATAGGCGTGTCTGGCAGTCGTATCGTACTTAAATACGGTGATGGATAAGATCCACACGGAATTAGAAGGTGAAAATTTGAATGCCGTGTCGTTGGAGCTCGCCGTGCGTCTCCACCGCGTCATATATGACCATTTGCAAAACTTCCAATTTAATTCTGCGGGTAAGCTTATATTCAACTAGTTTTATGTCAGACTTTTGGTAAAAAGACCGGGAAAAGGGTATTATATCCCATGATGTAATCTATGTATGTACTTACTAAATTTTATCGAAATCTGTTCAGCTGTTTCAACGTGAAAATTTATCAGGCAGAGTTATTTTTTTATTTATGACATTCTCATGGATTAATTATAATAACTTTCACTTAGCATTTTTTTGCTATACAATTATAATTTTAATAAACATACAATGCCATAATCAAATATTGAACCACTCATGATAACAAACAATACATAAATACATGATAATTAAATTTGGTTTTTGCATTTAAGAAATTAAATTGCTATGCCTATCTGTCAACTCCCCTGGCACTTACAAAATTTTCTAGTATAATAACCACATCTAGTATGAATACCAAAGAGAATAACCAGATTTATGGTGGTTTAATTTCTTTGATTATCTCATATAGGATGCCATATTATCTATTCTAGTCATTGATGTATAAAAACATAGGTGTGTACCTATATTTTATATTTCCTAACAAATATCTGTTAAAAAAGTGGGGTCGACGTGACGTTAAGTCAAACCAAAGAATAAAATTCAAAAATCGAAAGTTCTAATTATCTAACACACAAACTCGAACTTACGTATACCACATATACATAGTACTTTTTTAAACAAAACAACGTGCGTTTTAATTTTGTCATCTGAAAAGTTATGAACAGAGAGAGAGAGATTGAGAGAGAGAGACGCTAATTGCGTATCTTCAATTTTTGTGTAATAATGATTCTAGTATAATTTTATGACATCTGTGTTCAAATAATTAAGAAAAAACAACAAAAATCCTATACCAGGTCACAGGTGCAATGATGAATGATAATTAAATAAATATTATTAGTCAAAAACAAATTATAGTTATATACAACGTGAAGAAGTACCACGGGCGAATATCATGAATAGTGATGTCTTCTATGTTTAAATAATTTAAAAAAACGTATGTGTGTACTTATGTACGCACGTAAGAAGTTATACTTTTGTGGCGTAACAAAACAAAACTAGCTAAAGATTTCATCCCGTATGTCACAACTCTGTTCATAAAGCGAATGATAAATTAATAAAATGATTAAATAAAGCATATTAGGCATATTACAATCATATATAATTATAGAATATCATTTAAGGAAAAAATAGAATATTATATACCATTTGTCAGACAATAACAGCGGTTACCATGGCAACAAACAGTTATCAGCTAACTTCATTATGTCGCTTTTTGGCTGTCGGTATGCGCGAGCATTGTAGAAATTTTACTCTCATATTTTTTCTAAACGTTCCAAAAGAAGTATAACTTTAAAAACAACAACATTCCACACCAGGTGCAATGATAGCGATATGCGACGTGAAGGAGTACCGGTCGGCGGTGTGCGGACGCGCGCGCGCCGCGCCGCCGCCCGCGCACGCGCTGTTCGACGCGCTGCACGCGCTCTGCAACCTGCTGCTGGTCAAGCCGGAGAACTTGCACCAGGTCTGCGAGGGGGAGACCTTGGTGAGACCGAGCATGATCTTATTATCATTTTTTTTATTTATTTATTCAGGTAAAAACAGTCGTATATAAAAAATCTAAAACAGTAAGAATACAATTAGACCTATATTACCTTAAATTATTACAAATGAACTGATTTACCATCAAAAGTGACGGATGCTAAATAAGTATGTTTTCAAAAATAATAAATGAAGCTAATTGAATAAAAATATTAAATAAAACTTAATTGAAGCTACTAAAAAAGAAACAAAAATACATATGTCTTATACAAGATTTAGAAATAAATAAGTTTATACAAAATTTCCGAAAAATTAAGACATTGATTGGTTTATACCAATCAATGTTCTTAGCAGGGCTGCCAGCAGAGACAACTGCCGCCAGTAGAGCCAACTTATTTTATACCACTGGGTCACTCAAATCAAATTTTATTATACAAATTAACAAAACTGTTGAGAAATAGTCTGTGACGACTGAAAAATATCAATAAAAATACATAACAACTTAAAATGAAATATAAAATAAACATATTTTACAATTTTCGTATCCAATTATACAGTCTGGCAGCCCTGGTTCTTAGTATCTTTTGAGAGTTCCCGTCATGTTCGCGCTGTTACAAGCTATGTACCAAAAGTAAGTGCTAAGCATGGTAAATATCCCGTTTTACATCGTAATAATATTGTCAGTGATCATGAAAGTTTTAAGACTAGTAAGAAAACAGTTATCATCCTCCTGACCAATAGAGAGACTGATGAGATTAGTTATATACACAGGAGATATTGTAGGGCCTAAGTTTGTGCGCACACGTCATGTGAATTGTGCGCTCTCTAGTAATTTTTCACCTCGAATCTATCATCTCCGGTCTGTCGCAGAGAATTTTTTGACAGAAAAACACATTAATATGACCCGACCCAGGACTCGAACCTCCGGATCAGGGCCTCCAGATGTACAGCCGTACAAGCTAACCACTAGACCGCTAGAGGAAACAATATCTTTGTCTTGGCTTAAAATAAGGAGGAAGTATACAATGTTTTTTTTGTCTTTCAATATTTGAAGAGAATGTTATGTATGTTTATGGCTTTTTCCTGTTTCTTTTTTATTTAAAATCTCAAAGATTCAGTATAAATTACAAGAAATATAATCTATTTATCATTTTAAAGACGTTGTACGTTTTTAGTTGGAATGTCATTATATTACCGTTATTAGCGACTTACCCTCGCTTCGCACGGGTGCGTGCGTCCCTAGGTAAGTTTTAAAATTTTTTTTTAGCTGAACCTTTTCAATTTTTCTAAAAATAAAAGTACCCTAAGTTACTCCTTATAACATCAGCTATCTGCCAGTGAAAGTCCCGTCAAAATCTGTGCAGCCGTTTCGGAGATTTGCCGGAACAAACAGATTGTGTTTTTTCTTATAAGTATAATTTCCTATGTATTTAGTACAAAGCTGTTATTTGATTATTACACTCAGACACTTTTATTTATCTGCAAAACTCGGAGATTTTTTTATGTTACAAAATTATCTAATAATTTCTGATGTCACAGTGTTGATAACAAAACCTCCTTCAAAACGGCTTAACCGATTCCTATGAAATTTTGTGTGTATATTCAGTAGGTCTGAGAATAGGACGTAAATTATTTTTCATACCAAGCAAACGAAAAATAAACGTATAAAATAAGCTTTTTCTCTCCAGTAATTAATTAATTATATTATAAAATATTTATGCAGCAATGAATCTAATTGTTATAAGTTCACATTTGCATATTTTTGAATTTTGCGGCTAGACAAGCACTTAGCGATTTACTCACATCAGCGATAGGAGGTTATGCGAGTGCGATATCTAGCGTCATCTGTTATTCAAGGCTATATATGTATAATTAATTCAACATTTTTATACTTATTATAATTATTTATACATTAATTATATTTAAATTCAATTTTTTTATTGAACGTCACGAGTTTGTTCAAAAAATCCTTAGTCGTGAGATGAACGAGTTTACTGGGTTTATTGAGTCAGTCTGTCTTAGCATTCTCCATGTGCAAATTGTTCCCGCAAACTCCGACGTAATAACTGACATGACGCGTTGCTAATGTTTTTAAAATTAATTTTTACTATTTTGCTTTATGAAAACCCTTTGAAAAATATCGATTTTGATTTGGGTTCTTTAGAACAAACAGGTTTTTAAAGAAAAACAAACATACAATCGCATACGTTTTATTTTGGTTCAGTAAGATATCAATTGAACAAAATATTTTTAAACTAAACTGAAAAGTCCGTTTAGACATTAATACAAGGCATTAAATTAAATTATAGTTATAATACATTCTCCATTCTACGCGACATTGGCTAAGTAATCTGCTCATTTGCTTTGAAGTCATTACAAGACTATTGAATTGAATAGTTAAAAATATTATAAATGTGAAAGTGTGTTTGATTATTTGTTTGTTTGTTTGTTTGTTTGTTTGTTTGTTTGTTTGTTTGTTTGTTTGGTCTTCTTTCACGTCGAAACAGAGTGATGAATTGGCGTGATTTTTTGTTTTGAGACGAGATAGTTGGAGGGCTGGAGAATGAAATAGGCTACTTCTTATTTTACCAAGGGAGATTATTTTATACCCACGGAAAAATATCATACCTATGTATATACAATATACAAGTCTGTCTATTCCGTACTAACCTAAGCGAAGCGAGGGTGCTAGCAGGTACTATAGTATATATGTAGATCAGTTTATCATGTAGTCGTTCATGCACATCTAAATAAAAAACTCAGAAATGTACCTGGGTAATATAATATACGAATGGCAAAAAATCTTACATATATATTATGATACTAGCGGCTCACCCTCGCTTTGCTCGGGTTCGTCGCTAGGTACGTTTTAAATGAATAGTGATTAGCCAGCGTTACCCACATAAATTTTAATATTTTTTTTCATTAATTTTTCTGTTTTAATACTTATTATCCTATTCCGGATTAAGAGATATCCAAAAAATCTATACTAATATTATAAAGAGGTAAAGTTTGTGATCTTGTGAGTTTGTGAGTTTGTGAGTTTGTGACGTTGTAGGGGGTAATCTCTGGATCTAATGAACCGATTTTCAAAATTCTTTTACCAATAGAAAGCCACGTTCTTTCTGAGTGTCATAGGCTATATATTAACGCGAAGAATGAAAAGGCTTTTTCGTGGTAGTCGGATTTGCAAAGTAAGTCGGAGAAAAAACGGTCGAACGAAAAGGTTTCTTACGAACGCTGCATTAACGGTGAGAGATATATGATTATGTTCTAGAGAAAAGTTGTAGAGCTTAATAATGCCTACAAAAAAGTCAGCGACAGCATATATCTAACTTTTATATTTAAGTCACAAAAAGTAGTTTTTTATATTAAAAAAATAATTTAAATCGGTAGGTCATGTTTATTGGTCATATTATCAACAATTATGAATTCTTATCAAAATAAGTAAATTTATCGTCTAAAATGTTTAAAACAAAAGACTTTTCCCTTTTACTGCATATAATTTGGACAAATGGTTAAAGAGATAATACAACATATTCGTAGGTATGAACGAACCCGAGCGAGCTGTATATCTGTTTTCCTGTTTGTACGGGCTAATCTCCGAATCTATTGGACGGATTTAAATAAAATTTTGCATGGTAGTACCTTATATCCCCGTGCAACATCTAAGATACTTTTCATCCCGGAAAATTAAAGAATTCCCATGGGATAGTTAAAAAACTATAACAACTTATACAGCTTAGTACACAAAAACTACTGATTAGATTTTAATGAAACTTTTTAATAATATAGTTCATACATGACAAAAACAAATCAGCTACTTTTCATCCCGGAAAATTAAAGAGTTTCCGTGGGATAGCCAAAAAACTACAGTAACTTATACAGCTTAGTACACAAAAACTACTGATTTCATTTTGATGAAACTTTACAAAAATATATATAGTTCATACATCAGAATAAGAAATAGGTTACTTTTTATCCCGGAAAAATGTACTGTTCCCGTGGGATAGATGTTTTTGTTAATTTGTAACGTATTATGTACACAACATAAACCCCAAAACAATAGTTATTAAAAAGTTGTCTGTTTGCCTGTATGTCTGTTTGTCTGTTTTTGCGTGAGCGTTTCACGCGAAAAGTAATGTACCGATTTCAACGAAATTTGGTGATTTAGGATACCTTTTGTATGTATTTATGTATGTATGTATGTATGTATTCAGCCCTTTTTAACGTCCCACTGCTGGGCACGGGCCTCCCTTCAGTACGAGGGGGATCAGGCCATAGTCCACCACGCTGGCCAAGTGCAGGTTGGCGGACTTCACATGTCTTTTGAAAACTTGCTGGGTTCTCTCAGGCATGCAGGTTTCCTCACGATGTTTTACTTCACCGTTAAGACAAGTGGTAATTGTGTTAGAAATGATTCGCAAATGAAAATATCAGAGGTGCGAGACCCGGGATTTGAACTTGCTTCACTCGGTTTCCCAAGCGAGCGCGTTACCACTGGGATACCACTGCCTAGATACCTTTTACTTCAAGAAAATCTTTCTTTCCCACGGAAAAATACAATAACTGATTTTGTAGAGTCCTCCTTAGAAACCTTCCGCTGGCTAAGCCTTAAGACATACATACATTAAAACAATATACAAAAAAATTGTAGGTCTTGAAAAGTCCTACAGAAAAGTACTGAATTATATATGTCTATCTCCTAAGTTACACTCGCAATATTTATTCTTATCTATACGTATAATAAAACTAACTTAGTCAAATCGATGTGCGCGTTTCACGCAAAAAGTACTCAACCGATTTTAACTAAATTTTGTAGTGATAAAACTTAGTACTCGGGTCAACATTTAGGATACCTTTTACGACAGGCAAATTATTGATTACTCGAAAACACAATAACTGGTTCTATCGAATCGTCCTTAGAAATTTATATATTTTTTTAACGTTGGGAAATGCATGTACGCACGAAATGTGGAACTCACCGGCAAAGCCAGTACTACC